CATCCTAGCACCACCAGTAAGAAGCTGAAGAGAATCCCTAGGCCTACATTCTGCAGTAACCAGAGGAAGGGCTGAACCAGGGAATGTAAATAGATAATCAGGGAAGATTTTTGCCTGGGAAGTAGGCATCCCCTCCCCATCAAGAGTTGTTAATATTAGGCAAATGGCCACTCTACTACAGTCAGAGTCTATAAGGAGTTTGGTTCAGCTTCTACACTTTGAACATTACCCTGCAAAACCCGCTTATATACTCAGCTGCCTCTGCACAGCTTAGGTTAGGATCAGACTGCGCTGAATACAATTGTATTCAAGTGTTTTTGGTTGGGCTATTACCAGATACCTCGACATTTTACTCTCCCCTGAAAATAGATACACATTATTTATATCACAAAAAATATATAGAACCACTCCAGTGACACTGGGTGAATTTTGATATCTGTCATCATCTTAGGATATAAAATCTACAAGAACATAAATGGATCAGATGATTTTTCTAGGAGAAATTACAAAATATAATGAGGATACAGATTTTTCTGACTCTTAATTCAATGGTTTTCCCATTATATTCCTTTATAAATGTTGCATTAAATGTGCACAAATATATTAGGCAAATTGACAAATAAAAGCTAAAAGAACGATAAAGATTCTCACCATATTCTTCAAGTTCTATTCTCAGTCTCTTCTTGGTCAAGGTCTGTCTTGTGGGGGATCATCCCAAAGTGAAATTCACATCTTCACTTCTCATTTCTGCCGAAGATTCCTATTTTGAGTTTTCCAGCCACCACCTGTCTTCTAGGCTCTAGCATTACATTTCTACGCTTGATGTATTTTCTTTGTTTCCCCGGAAAACTCCACACATTTACACTGCACCATATATAACTAAGGTGTCTTAAAAAAAAAAAAACTTGAAAAGCTGAAAGAAAAAGAAAACTTGATAGAAAGTATGGAACACGTTATATCTAAAGGAGAAAAAAGAATTCCTAAGCATAAGGCAGTGCTTTAAATAACTCTAGTCCTCAAGTACCTTGCTTCTTCCCTGGTCACCAATCAGCATTCTGATTACTAATCTGGCTTCCCAGGAAGCGCTACACCTGTAAAAGTCATTCAGCTCAAATTTAATGCATTTGCTTAACATATGATAAAGTTCAGTTGTGGTCTCCATGTTCAGAAATATTTTTATTCCACAATATTATATGGAATATGTATATATTTTTCTGGACTATAATTCCACAATATTTCATATATATATTTATTTTGATATTAGTGGAAAGGCAAATAACAGTTTTTTTTTCTTACCTAGTCTGAGGGATCAGAAATGTTTGTCTAAGGAAATTACATTTGAGACTGTATAGAGGTCTTGGGGTAAGAGAAAGGAAATGACTGTAAAGGAAATATTGTACCAAACTGGTCTGGAACAAAGCATTATATATCGCTTGATGTAGTTTGTAATCTCCTTTATTCAATACATTTGATTTGTGATACAACATTTGGCAATTTAAAATAACTGTTTAATTATGACATTTGTCCCGAGGAACTAGTCACTCACTCACTTATCTGACAGTCAAGAGTTTGGGGATAAATAAATTTTCTTTCCTATTTTGTCTAATTTCCTTTTTCTATAGTTGTCTCTATTTTAAGAGAAACTTTTAAATTGGCCTCCTAGAGACTTTTTAGCATGCTGCAAGATTATAACAAAACTATGACATATGCTCATAGCTACATGTCTGGGAAGTTATAAAGTTATTGTTGTTATTTGTTTCAACAGTTACTTCTAGATTCTACAATTAGGCTAATGTACAAAAATGGAGGTGGTGGGCATGGTGATAAAAGGAAGCCAAGGGATAAGCAAGATTCAATTTAAGTATGGAACTGTTGTCCATTGGTATTTGAATCTTATTTTTAAAAATAAAACACAAAAGAGATGAGAGAGATGATCACATTTATATTTTGTGAAGATGAGCCTTTCTATAGCAGCATTAATAGAAATATCAAGCAAGCTACAAATATGAACACTGTTTCTAAATTTCCAGTAGCAGCCACATTAAAGACCAGGTGCAGTGACTCATGCCTCTAATCCTAGTACTTTAGGGAGCCAAGGTGGGAGCATCTGTTGAGCCCAGGAGTTCACGACCAGCCTGGGCAACATAGTGAATCCTTGTCTGCGCAAAAAAAATTTTTTTTTTTTAATTAGCCAAGTGTGGTGGCATGTGTCTATAGTTTCAGCTACTTGGAGGGTTTGGGGTGGGAGGATTGATTGAGACTGGGAAGTCAAGGATGTAATGAGCTGTGATCATGACAATGAAGTCCAGCCTGGGTTTCAGAGTGAGACTCTGTCTCAAAAAATAAAAATAAAAATAAACAAAAAACAAAAAGAATCAGATGAATTAATTTTAATACTATAGTTAATATAGCCTCATATATTGGCAGTATTACTATTTTTACATGTAATCAATATAAAAAGTATCTACTCTGTTATCAACTCTACTATGCCTTTCTGGAATATTAAGGTTAAGTGTTAAAATTTACAATGATAGGCCAGGTACACTGGCTTATGCCTGTAATCCCAGCACTTTTGGAAGCCAAGGAGGGCAGATCACAAGGTGAAGAGATCAAGACCATCCTGGGCAACATGGTGAAACCTCATCTCTACTAAAAATGCCAAAAAAAAAAAAAAAAAAAAAAAAAGAAGAAGAAGAAAATTAGCTGGGCATAGTGGTGGGCCCCTGTAGTCCAAGCTACTCAGGAGGCTGAGGCAGGTGAATCACTTGAACCCAGGAGGTGGAGGTTGCAGTGAGCAGAGATTGCACCACTGCACTCCAGCCTGGTGACAGAGTGAGACTCCGTCTCAAAAAATAAAATAAAATAAAAATTGCAATGATGAAAGATTTATTTGATATTAGCATTCTTTTTTACAATCTCATGGAAAATAAAGCTTGAGAACTTTCATTTTTCTCTAATAAAATTCTAGAATGTTATTAAAGAATTCTAAATTCTAAAATGTTTAGAATATGCTCTGTTTAATTTCTATGACTGTGCTTTCTTATTGATGAGCTCCTGGGTAATTGAGAGATAATGTATACTTTATATAGAGAAGAGATCCTCTTAATGACTTATCCAAATCATATTCACTGAATTAAAAAGAATAGTTAATTCACCAATGCAATATTTTGCCTATTAATTGGTATACCTCCCCAAAAGGCAAAACAAAATAACACAATTGAAGCTTCCTTTTAAACATCTTCACTGATCAAAGACATAGAACTAGATATTTTTAAGGTGGTCTATTGTTTATAAAGATAATATTTTTCTTTTTTTTACTGTGAAAGTCCAAGGTCTGAAATAAAAAGGGTACTTGAATTTCTCCATATATAAACATAATTCACTGGTATCACTGATTCTATCAGAATCTGAAAATATATCCTGTTCAATTTTTCAGTGAGCTATTCACTGGGCTTTTAATAGGCATCCCTATAGTAGGGAACTTAGGGATTCATCATAGTAAGAAGTGAAGGGGACAAAGACTCAATTCTACTAAATGTTAAATCCTTTAGGACCATAGCCTGCATCGCAACGGCTCTTATTCCTAAAAAAGTTGCCTGGCACATATCAGAATAACAGCTAACACTTATGTAACATTTAAGCCAGGACAGAATCTTTTCTGAGTATTTTACATATTTTAAAATATTCATTACTCAAACTAGTATGATGAGTAGATACTATAATAATTCATTTTATAGATGAGTAGATTGAATCCTGAGTATATTACTGGTATTATTCATTTATTGTAATGGCAGTGTTAATATAGAAGCTAACAGTTATTGAAAATTTCTTGAGTGATAGCTATTATTCTGAGTACTTTACAGACCTAAACCCAATCCTATTCACAGTTCTATGAGTAAGTACTATTTCTATGTCCATTTTATAAATGAGGAAATTGAGTTAAAATATACATTCTTTCAAATCCTTAAAATAAATTTATTTACATCTTATTCTCAAGAATGTTTGAAAAAAATAAACATTTCTTATTTTGTTACAATTTTTGTTCAAGAAGTTACAATTTATGGAGGCCTAAGCCCTGTTCAAGGAATTTGCATGTAATAACCCATATGATCTTCAGTGTAATCTGTGAGATGAGGATACTATTATTATCATCACTTTATGAGTGAGGAAAATGAGGCACATAGAGTTTGAGTAAATTGGCCAAGGTTACACAAAGAATGACAATGTTGGGATTTATACTTAGGCAGCCTGAAATTGTATTTAGCAGAACGGTATTGAAATTTTGGCTTAATTCAATGTTTATCTGAACAAGATGAATTGTGGAAATTTCCTTATCTCCCAAACTGAGTAAAGGAACAAATGCACTGATTATTTTCCATTATGGATGATTAGTCTATTTTAACTAATACCTTTCTTTCTTTGTTCTATAACTATTCTAATTCAGAAGTTTTCCTGCTTTTAGAATTAAAATCCCACTTATACCATCACAAGTACATATTTCAATTACTGAGTTAAAGAGATTTCCAAGCTACTTTAAAAGAAATCATAATTTTAAAAGGGATTCTTTTTTCTTCTTTTATAATCTTCTCTATTAAAAAAACATAAACTACTACCCAAAGAATTAGTTTGCTTTAAAATAATGTTTAGAGCTAAAATTTCAAAAGAGAATTTAATGGAATAAAAACAAAGAAACATTTATTGAGTTAATTTGACTCAGTGAATCTCAACATCTTATTTTATATTCTTATTTTATCATTGCATATTTAGGAAAACTATTCAGAGTTTTCTAAAATATTCACTGAATAATTATCATTTAAAAAGTTAAACCGATTACCTTTATTTACTTGAAAGCTTTAAAGCCCTTTTTATGATGTTTACAAAGTATAAATCTGCACACAGTCCTATTGAAGTCATATTAATAGTGCAAGCAACATTTTAAAGCTTGACACTTCTTGGTGTATAATTATTCACTTTCTTCCATACATAGACACCACACCGTGTTGTCAATAAATAATTCCACTTTAATGGCAAAGTAATAATTTAGACGGATACAGGGTGCACATTTGCAAAAAAATATATGCAAGCTGGTTTACAAGCTAGAGGAACAATAAACCAATAGAAAATACATCATCCAGTTAAGTCCATTGACACCAAGTACTTATTGTTGGGGCTTTACAAAGACTACAAAACTTTTCAGATGATTTATTTCACTGTTTCTGCCTATTTACATGATATGTTACATCAAAATGTACAAAATATAAAATGTATACAGACAAATGTTTCACAAACTAGTTTAAGTTGTAAACTAGGTGGACCTACTGGGATGTATTGCAGGAATTCTGTTTATGCTCATGTCTGGACTGTGTTTCTCAAAATGGCAGGGAAAGATTAGCAATTTTCTTTGATCACATATTATACAAGGGCAACTAGTCACTCATCCAGCTACATATATTGATGTTTCACAACAGATTTGATCCATGTTTGAGGCTTCAAAGTCAGGGTAACAATTCTATGTGCATAAAGTCAGTTCGGATTTCCCTTAGGGCAATAGCACCTTGTAAGGACCTGTAGACTTAGTGACACTCTGAAAACTGCACAGATGTTTTGTGGTGGTGGTGTTTTTCTAAGCAACTGACCCATTGGTGGTCACAGAGAGTAGCACCAATTACACATCCTAAAAGCAACGCATTTTCACACACGCATAGAACGTCTATACCATGGCCTAGCCCTTGGGTTTCGTAAACTCAAAACCTGTCCTTTGTGTATGGTGGTAACTTCTCCAATGACTGATCGGTTTTCATGCACTCTCTTTAAAGCCTGCCATGACAGATGTACTTTCAGACAGTTTTACTTATCCAAAAATATATTGGCTTCATGTACAGTTTTGAAGCATGCTCACTCTAGCACTGATAGCTCCTGCATAGTCATAACAACTGTAAATACAGGACAAACACACCAGATAATAACAGCTTTGAGGGTTTGCATTCTGTATTTGTTTGCAATGTACAGGAAATCTCAGCAAGTGAAACACCTCTTAACACCAACAGGATAAAATACACTTTTGTTTGTGTTTGTTTTGATTTGTGCAAGTTTTAAAAATTATTATTTACAATACCTACCCAGTAGACTGTGCAAATCTAACCTTCTTTTACAGTATAAACGCTTTCTCTTCCACAGTGACTTTACTGCTTCAGTGTTCTTTAATGCTGAATTTCTCATGTACAACAACAGCAATCAAAACAACATGCGTCAAAACTAATTAAAAAAAAAATAGGGAAGGAAAGCCGAATAGTTGTGCTCATGCTGCATCTAGTGCTTCCAGCCCTGCTGGATGATAATTCGAAATCTCCTGCCTTCTGAAACTCTTTCACTTAGAACTGGATGGAATTTCACCATGTCTTAGCTTTTAAGTGACGGTCAAAGAGTGTTTCTGGATTATTTTAATATTTTGGAGGATAGGCAACACAATCTATTCACAAGGTTAAAAATACTGATCTTTCTCCTATCCATTTCTTCAAAAAAAAAAAAAAAGAAAGATATATAGAGATGAGGCTACTGTGTTAACTGGTGTTGCTTGATTGTAAATGAAAAGACAGTGGAAATTACCAATGGTTTAGGATTTAAGCCAACTGTTAAACTGTTGTAGAAATCTGTTTTAAGGCAGTGAGACAGCACCATAGGAAATGTTCCTTCTTTCACTGAAAAGGCTCAAACAAATAAAGCCCTAAAAAAGCCTTTTGTCAGTGTTGACTAATAATTGGTATAAAACTCTTGTTAAGGGAGTGGGCAGGTGGTTTAAAAAGACCACTGTGGTAAAAACAACCTTATAAAACTGGTGACTCATGTACTAAAAAGTTGGTGGAGCACATCATGAGAACATGGCAGTTAGAATTAAATTGGCACTTGTCCAGTTTGCCATAGTAGTGTTTTTCTGGTGGTTGCACAATTCCATTTGTGCTTATGGAGGACTGGCCTTTTGGATTTGTTCTGGAATGGGGTGAGCGCACAACACAAACACTACCGAAGCACTGGGACCAGCACCGTGTGGCACAAAGGAGGTTGGATGGATCAGAAAGATGGACCCTGCCTGGGGAAGAACAGCCCCTCAGAGGAAACAAAAGGAAAGGACAAAAAAATGGTCTGCATTGTAAACTTTTAAAGAGGAAACAAAGAAAGTCCAGTTTGGCTATCCCGTGTGCAATCTGTTCAGTTGCCCTGTCATTAGGGTCCTTTCCAGTTGAGTAATGGAGCCTTCTATTACTCCATGGATATAAAAAATGCTTAGAAATTAACTAAAGTTAAGCTTCCATTGCAATTTAGCATCTCGGCGGTTCAGACTTAGTTCTGCTGCCTCCTTGGAGACCACAACTCTGGGTCAGGGCCCTTGACAGGGTGCTTTTATACTGGCAGTGGTTTAGTGAAAATACCTTTCTTTTTAAACATTTTTTTAAAAGCAGTCTTTTCCCCTAACATTTTTCATCCTCTAGAGGGTAGATTCAAGAGATGAATCCAAAATGTCTTCATGGTGGCTGGTGCTTTCGCTGTCGCAGCTTTGTGTGCTCGAGTAATTGGCTGCTTCTTGAAGTTTCATTAGCATATTCATCTGAAGAAACAAAAAAAAAGAGACATCGATGTAGGCAATGATGCATTGAGTAAGCCAGCCCATAAAAAACAAGGCCCTGAGCCACACCGAAGAGGCGTCTTATCCCATCCAAGTGACACAGGAAAACAATTTTAGATTTTTACTCATTGCCCCTGGCTCCTACACTGTTTCTCCCAAACATGACTACAACACCAAACCAGAAGGACAAAATAGGGCCTCTAGAAAACTCTTTTATTTGGGGTTGTGAATGAATACTGCTCCAGCAGGGAGACTGGAAAGGAAACTGTATCACAGCTGGACATCTGGGTTCATTGCTGGAAAGTACGCCAAGCTTCCCAGCTTTTTGGCTAGGAGAAGCAGAAAGCATTGAATGGCAACTGAAAGTCGTGAATGTTCATACACATACAGACGCACACACAGGCACACACACACAGTCCCTCGAGAGAAGGAGGGGATGGAGTGGGATGAAGCCAGCTGCCGCACACAAGTACACCATCTGCTGTTTAGGAGCTGACCTCAGGAGGAAGTGACTGAATGAAGTGAACCGTGAGTGTCTGAAGAGGGAGAAGGAAAGAATGACTGTCAAGTGTGTGTAGTTGGATTTCTGGCTAAAATATGATTGATATATCACCAAAAACAAAAACCATCATTTGGAACAATAGCAGCTGTCTCATTTCCCAGCCTTTTAGGAGAATGGTAATGTTTGTTCTCGTGAAAGGGACATATGCATGAAAGCACCTGGGGAGAAAGGCAGCTAGCATTTCCATGTATTATAAAATAAAAAACAATCACATTGCTTCAATCTTGACAGCGCTGGAGCCCCCCTGTTAGAAATGGACTTTTTCTTTTTTTTAAATGTGTGCTTGATAAATGCTTATGAAATCAATGATAAACTGGTAATCACCAATTTCAGCAAGAATTCCTTTCCGACAAAAGGAATTTGAAGTCATTTTCATATCTTCAGGCCAATTTGTTTTAACCTAATTTCCAATCTAACTCTCTGAATTTATTAAATAAGCTACATACGGTTATGAAATAAAAGTAGTGATAACTTCTCAAACTCAGTAAGTCAAGAAAATCAAATGTCTCCTTCAACACAGTTTCTTTCTCTCCTACTCTGCTCTCTTTTTCTCTCACTCACACCCCCACCTTCCTACCTTCATGTCCATTCATATTCTTTTTCAATTTCTTTTATTAATCTACCACTCGTTAGCAGTTGCCTATATGTTCAGGCATTTGGGTGAAACTGATCTGTAAAACAAAACTGAGTGTTGAGCATCCTGGTGATTTAGTAAGAGTAGAAATGGTAAATAATACCTTTTTAAAATGATACAACTGGATATTAGACACAAAAGTTTGAAATCACTTGAATGCTGGATGTTGTAAAAGTTTTAATGTTTAATGGTATTATTATTAAAGTCTTAATTTTGCCGTATAGTAAATATGTTCCATTGTAATACATTCCACATCTCAGATTCATAATAAAGGTATAGAGTGTGATATACTTTGCCTTTGCATAGTATTATTTTGTGCATTCAAATCAAGGGAGATTATAAGAGATTATGTATGATTTAGTCATTATAATGATACATCAGAATCCTCCAAAAAGTATTAATATTTTTCCTCTGTTCTTCCCTGCTTCTTCCCCATACTCATGCTACGGTTTGCATATAACATGCCCCTTCCGAAACTCTTGTTGAAGTTTTAAACCTATTGTGACAGTGTTGGGATGTGAGGCCTAATGGGAGGTGTTGAGTCACGGGGGCATATTCTTCATGATCAGATTAATGCCATTCTGGTTGGACGTCAGTGAGTTCTTACTCTAGCGGGAATGGATTAGTTCCTGTGTGAGAGCAGGTTGTTAAAAAGAGTCTGTTTCTTCTCTCACCATGTAACCTCTGTACACTCCCACTCCTCTTCCACGTTCCACCATAAGTTCATGCAGAATGAGGCTCTCACCAGATGTAGCTGCCCAATCCTAGACTTTCCAAGCACCAGAACCATGAGCCAAATAAATCTCTTTTCTTTACAAATTGCTCAGCCTTGAGTATTCTGTTATAGCAATATTAAATGGAAGAGGACATCTATAGTCATAAATCTAATGTTTATCATTTCTAACACATTGATCAGGTCTTTATCATCACTGCTACTTACAAATCTGCTAAGCTTCCAGATTGCATCCTATCTTCTTCAATCTGTCCTCTCTCTACTCTGTTTCTAAAGTGATGTTTAAAAATTGCAGATCTAACTAGGTAAATCATGGCTTAAATTCCTTTGATGCTTCCCACTCTCTGTGTGATAAAAGTTTTAACTTTCTGCAATGATAACATGGTCAGAATGATCTAGCAATTGTATACTCCCATAGTTTTAATTCCTACCACCAACTGGTGTATTGTTCCTTAAACTCATCATTTTTATTATACTGTCCTCTAATGTTTTACAATCTATTTCTTTAATTTTGGATGTTTTCCCTCCAACCATATAGTGAACTCCTATTAATCATTCAAGATCCAGCTCAAGCATCTCCTCTGTAAACATGTATTCTGTGTCCTCAATGAATGCACAATTTTATCTAACATGTACCTCTATTATGTTACTGCACTTTATATAGGTAGAAGCCTCTCTTCACTGCTGGAATTTAAGCTTCTTGAAATCAGAAATAATACCGTATTTATCTCCTGACCACCAGGTCATAGCACCAAGGACAGACTCATTAACATTTGTTTACTGTTAATGATGAATACACATCGTATTTTTAAAATAATGTGAGATATACCAAAAACTTGCTTCCTCGTTCAGATTCAGAAAGTCTCTCTTCTTTCCTGTTTCTTTGCCGTACTCATTGCTATGGTGATTTCTGACCCTAAATAGTGGATGTTTTCTAGGATTTCTGATTTAGAATGACTGAAATATATGTTGGCTTTATGTTAGTAATTACAGAAATATATAGAAATAAAAAGATAGAAAATATTTATTTTTTAAATCAGAGAATGCCTGATCCAAAGATTTAGTTCTAGATGATGTCTTACCATTTAGCATGCAAGATATCATAACACCCCATTCCTTAAGACGTTAAATAGAACACCAGGTTAGAAACCAGGAATTTTTTTACTCCAATTCTCATGCCAGAATGGGAAACCTTGAATTTCTTTCTTGTACTAGAAGACAAGTGCATTCAGAACAAGGAAAAAGGGTACTTTATGGAATTAGCTGAACTGGACTATGAGAATTGGGAAAGTTGGGGGCATTTCCTAAGGGTTTAATGCTCTACAGACTAAAACTGAGAACAAACCTTATAAACACCTCTCTTTATAAAAGAAACACATTATACAAAAACTGCAGCAGTAGGACTGGACATTTTGAGGAATTCAGATAACATAATCCATATTCATATTCTAAAACTCATATTTACTCTATTAATCATTCTATCAGCAATTATTTAGTGTATGCTCACAATGATGCTGGATCCAAACCAATTTCCCCACCACTGTTGATTTCTAACTGTGTATCACCTAAAAGGCCATGGAACATGTTACAAAATTTTAAGTCTGGGCCCTTAAGGAATATATTGCCTAGATCAGAAATCAACAGGAAATCCCTGGACTCTAAATAGGTCTAAGTATATACTTCAGTGATTTTATGAAAGTCTTACAATTGTATGCCAAATTTTCAGTGTGTGTGCATTTTTCTGGGGAGAGGATATTGAAAGTTTATCAGATTTTCCACAAGAAACTCCCAAAATGTTAAGAATGATTAGCTGAAATGATGATGGTGTGTATGTGTCAAGGTTGTTAGTGTAAGTATTCCCTAAAATATCAAGTAATTTTATGTCCTTAGTTATAGTCATAGGTTATTATTTTTAATTACTTCTGGTTTGTGTTTGTTTGATTTAAGCAACATAATGACTTTTATTTCAGTATCTTTTCTTTCTATATTGGTTGTACAAATCCAATAAGCTCTTTAGTCATAGAATGGTGAGCTAATAACACTTTACATTTGATATCAATATATTGAAAGTAATCTATACAAATAAAAAATAGATATATAAAAAGTGTTTTTTCCTAATAATACTACATACTTAATATTTTCAGAATATTCATACTTAAGAGTTTTAAAGACTTTTATTTCAATTATTCCACTGTTTTAAAGTAAATAAACCATAACTTTCATTTGATTTCCAAGTCAGGTTATTCTCTATAGTAGGGAACAGAAGACCCATTCTATACTGTTAGTCAGGTTAGTTGATATAGGCAAAATATTTTTTAGTTCTCCATGTGTACATTACACCATAATTTTTTGTTTTTTAATTTAAGAACAAGATTGAGTTTTCTCTCAAATGCTTATTGAATTGAGTCATGCTATTTGAAAATCATATTTAATTACATACACAATTTGATGCGTAATCAGGGAAGAATTATAGTCTAAGAATTCATGCTGGTTGTAATGTTTCTTGATTCTTTTTAAACATACGAGTCTGGTTTTCATTTTAAGATTATCATCCAATGAAAGCAGGCCAAAGATAACGGGTTACAACTGTTCCAAATATTGCCTAGGATAACAAGTGTCTTTGATAGAAATGACTAAATACTAATGAGTACACACTACAGTCATATTCTATAGGAAGAAGTGAACATCAGATTCTTACCAGGGGATCTCCTTCTGTGTCAGTTTGTGGAATGTGCTTTGAGGTTGTGGCCTCCTTAGTGGATGTGCAGCTTTCATATCCAACATCTTCTGGTCGCAGTGGAAGTAAGGCTGGGCTCTCCTGAGGCAGAGATGCTGAGCTCCATGGGTATGTGTCAAGCACCCACTTTGAAGGATCTTCCCACGGTGTGCGTTTCCCATACATCTAAAAGTTGACCACATGTTTAGCATACATAAAATGCATTTCTATTCAGTTGAAAAGGGGACTACTAGTTGGATGTGATTTTTTTTTGACACATTGAGTTCTTATGAGACTTCCAAGGGAATTAAGTATCTGTATACAATTCTTCAGATTTAAACATGTATCTGTCTACACAGCTCAATTTAAACTCGAAGGCTAGACAAAATAAAGCTGAACATCTGGAACAGATGTCAGCATTTGGGGGAGACTATAAGGAAGGTGTATTATAAATACACATAGAAATAACTGCCCACATTTACTTTTACTAGTAATTTTACAAACCAAGAGAAAACTAAAGGATGAAAAACAAAATCTTCAACTATGGAAGATTTTAAAAAATATGCTTGACTTTAAATAGAGTTATCTACTAAAGTGCACCTTGAAAGATGGAAATAAAAGTAAAGGAATTTATTTTTCTCCACCTAATGCACTCTACTCAAACTTTCTTCTAGAGTAAGAATACTTTCTCTGATAACAGTTTTCCTGTGGTCAACTTCCTCTTTAATCCCATTGCATTCTGTAAAAACTCTTTTTAGATTTTTGTGTTTCGGGCCACTAGTAAAAGAGGAAAAAAATAAGGTACTGAATTATCAACTTTACAAGAAACATTATTGGGCAAATTGACCAATAAGAAAGAGATGATATAGCCTGGTTAAAGTATTGGCAGTAGAATAGAAGAATAAAGTACTGGCAGTGGAATAGAAGACTTAAGATAAATCCAATTACGATGAATCCAGTCTCTTGAATGTTAAACATTTTTTTAAATGGCATTTTAGGTTTTGGGGTACATGTGAAGAATATGCAAGATTGTTGCATAGGTACACACATGGCAGTGTGGTTTAAGCCGGAAGCAAGGCTGAACCCAAACTGGAAAGAGCACCCTGAAGAGAAGAATGAGACATTGAAAAAAAAAAAGTATAATTTTACAAGGGGGCACAAAAAAGTGAAAATTAAGAGAAGGCAGCAGGGGCAGTAACATAGGGACACTTGTTCCTTACATTACTTTCCCTCCCCATTTGACTGGCTTTGCCAAGGACAATCCTGGTTAGCAGGTGCATATTTGGTCTCAGATGACATACTTTGGTTTGTTGTTAGATGGCTGTTTTGTATAGTTTGTTTGGTTCAGTAAGACAAAGGGCAAAATGATGGACATTAACACCACAAAAACTTTACGGGCTGCCTTGGAGTTTTCTTTTGAGTTTCTTCTGGAGAAGTTGGACTTACCTAAAACAAAAGGGAGTCTAGCTACTGATATCTGTGCATTTCCTTAGGAGATGATAACAGAGGTGACAATCATTAGACTTTAAAAAATAATAGTAATCTTGTTTTAGAGCAAAAGTTTCCTCTCTAAAGTTACAAACTTTATAGGTATATAAAACACATGCTACACAACTTAAACCAATTGAAGCAAGACACGCATAATTCTTGGAAAGCTTAACTACGTTTGTTTTAATGTCAGTCTAGAATCAACTGATTTCAGGCTTTTAAAGAACCAGCCAGGAGAGCAAAATTGGAAAAGACCAATGAAAAGCTAAATGGGCCCAGTTCAGAGTGAAATACATATTGTAGAAAAAGAATTGAACAAAGAGAAATATAAATATTCAGAATGAGATGCACTGATTGTTGACTTTTTAAGAAAGAATCACCAGCATAAAAATCAAAATCCATTGTATCACCAACATGTTTTCCAACTAGAACATGTGGCAGAGAGCATTCCCCATAAGGTTTTTCACACACACATACAAAATCAGCCTTTATTAGAAGATACTATTTTCATTACTCTAAACTTAGAATGTCATTTTTGCTACCAGGCTTTGTTTCTCCACCTCTTCCTCCAATCGAAGATTCTTTGTTGCCAGTAGATCCATGAGAATGGATTGTGACAGATACTATTCCTTTGCTTCTTGCTCCCCTAGAAATACTTTCAGCTGATAGGCTTTTCTGGCCCAGCATAGTCTTCAATAGCAATGAAAACTGTCTACCCATCAAAAGATTTTCCTATTTTTCCCTTCCTGTGTGCTGAATTCCCCTTCCCCAACAACCCCTACATCACAGTTGATTCATCTTTCACACTAACCTACTACCAAACATCCTGAACCACAGCAAGAAATGAGACATTTTTATACCTCTTCAAAAATAATTTTGAAATAGCTCTCAGTGAGTTTGAAAAACTAATCCTTAAGTGATTATAGTTTTGCCCAAATGGAAACTTTATAGAATTATAATTCTCCACATAATATTCTATAAATAATATTAATTTAAATACGAAACAAAGAACCCATGCACCTTTTGAAATGAGATCTAAGGAAACTATGAGTTTTAGGCATTATCATTTTGGAGTTTTTACAAAGTTTCTTTTGCTTTCTGTTAGCAAGAAAATATTAAATAAGGAGAATTTAATTTGTAAATACTTGGATAATGGTTTGTTAATACCAAAACCATAGCTAGAGAACAAATAATGTATCTAAATATTAACTTTACAATTATGAGTTCTAAAATTTTCATAAAATAATGTTTTTTGGTACAAATAATCAACATTGAAACATCCAATGAAACATCCAACTTACATCCTAGGTAGTATAATAGTTTTAGAAGAATCCTGAAACAAGATATGTTATACTTGAAAAATAGAAACATTTGCATAAGCTTTTATTTTGTTGGAGGTACTTGCTTGGGGTAGATTGACTCATGCCCTTAAAAGTGTTAAATTCGATTATCTAAATCTAGAGTAGAACTGATCAATAGCATTCTTTAGGATCTTAGCTTTATCTCTGAGGCTTCAGCGTATCCTAATAAAATTCATCATATTCACCAGAACTATCATTTTACTTCTAAATGATAGTAAAATGAATGCCAGTCTACTAGAGGAAGAGATCAAGATATTAAAAGGGAGTGAAAGAGGGAAAATTAAATGGAAAATTTTTAGACAGAAAAATAAAAACACGGCATTATAGATGATAGAATGCATAAAACATAAACTGTATCTTAATTCTAGTAGTAGTTATAAAAATCATAAATATAGATGCCTCAGCTAACTTACTGAAAAGGAGACACGATTCATCCTCAATAAATTGGGTGATTATGTTACACACATTTTAAAGAGTTTTATAATACCACAATTTCAAATTCAACTTAAGGAAATATCAAGACTTATGGAAAAATGACAATGTGCTTTGTTGGAGAAATATGGATTTCTTTTTGTGATACCTTTTCATTTTTTAGTTAAGAAAAGACAGAAGGGCCTTGGTTACAGGGCCTCAAGATATCAGGCACATGAGAGGAAGTGCAAATATGCTATTAAACCAATTTGTCATAGATCAAAAGACCAACTGACTGCCTTAGAATTTAGAGTACTTCCTCCAAAATAGTAAAGAATCCTGCAAGTGATATTAAAGGGCTTCAAACAATTAAGAATACTAAAAACAGGAAACTTAACAAGCAAAAGCTACTTGTCAAAAATTAAGTGTATTAAAAACAAACAAACAAACAAACAAAAAAAAACAAGTCCAACCTGAGCAACATAGTAAAATCATGTCTCTAAAATAATAATAACAACAATAAAAATAGCGGAGTGTGGTGGTGTGTGCCTATATTCCCAGCTACATGGAAACCTTCATCACTTAGGTCTAGAAGTTCGAGGCTGCAGTGAGCCATGGCTGTACGCTGCACTCCAGCCTGGGTGACAGAGTGAGACCCTGCCTCAAAAAATAAAATAAAATAAAATAAAATAAAATAAAATATATAGGAAGAAAGAAGGAAAAAGAGAAATGAACAAAGAGAGAGAAAGAGATGGAGGGAGGGAGGAAAGAAGGGAGGGAGGGAAGGAGGAAGAAAAGGGAGGGAGAAATAAAAAAGATAAAAGAAATTATGTGATAAGAGTTTAAATGGTCAAGGGTCATGTAAACATGGCTGTGACATAGATGTATAACTGTGCAATTAATTAGTTATCTAATAAAAACAATCTGTAAACATCCATGACAACAATTTGGACTTAAATGTGTAGTTGTTGAAATAACTATGCCTTTTCTTTCTCTTACATATTTGTTCTCAGAACAGATAAAATATTATAAATTATTGGCTCTTGAAAACTTTATTGCTCTATTTATATAGTTCATGCCTTTAGTTTTCTCCATAAACATCCAGATAATTTTGGGTTTTTTTTTTTTTTTTTTTGCTTTAAAGTTTTTTTTTTTTTTTTTGCTTTTTTAAAAATAGCAGTGAAAATTGAGTACTATACCTGAAGACCTTCTCTCACTGCCTCCAGAATATAAGGTACTAAAGAATAGTTCCAGAGATCCATGAACCACACTCTAGAACCTTCTACATCCATGGGGCAAGGAAGGAAAAGCCGGGGGCCTGAGAATGAACAAATAACAAAATATTTTAAGAATTATATTTAATAATCTAAAAACATATCTAGATACCATTTTGGAATATAATATATTTCTTGCAAATTTCCTAGAAAATTACATTATTTGCCAGCTTGATTATATTGAAGACCCAAGATCCTAGCCTCTTCTATCTTTTTACAATAAATATTAATCTAGGACACAATATACTAGAGTTAGGAGAAATCATAAAAGTCATAATCCAGTCACCCTGTCCCGTTTTACAGACAACAAAGCTGCACTGAAATGAATCGCTGAATGTAAAATACATCATTATTTGCAGAATTGGGACCTGGCATGAGTGTTTTGTTCCCCATGTAGAATTCTTCTTTCTAATCTAAACTGTGTTTACAGTGAATACATTTTTATGATCTATAACATTGTGAGACTTTTGTATGTGCAATTAAAGAAGGAATACAAATGTAAACATCTTTATGTTAACTAAAGAGAAATAAGTCAGTTTTGTTTTCATCAAAAATAAAAAACACCTAAATTATCTATAAAATATCTAAATTATCTGTAACTAAAATCTTTTCTCACAACTTTATGAGAAAAAGTATGAAAAGTATCCTCAAAAGATACCATTCATTTCCAGTGGTTATCCGATTTTTAGATATTTGTCCATATTGAACTTACTTGATCTCAGTAATATATTAGCAAATATTTCATATCAAATATTAAATATCTCAGTGATATTTAACTGTCAGACAAAATGGATTTAATGGGAGATACAAAGCTAAGAAGAAAGTAAACTTTCAGGAGGAAAAAAAAATAAATTTAAATCTTTGGAATCTTGAGAAAACATTAGCTTTGCTTGTTATTTTCTACCATCCAATCTGGCCATCTTTACCAAGTACTGTTAGTTCCTGGAAAATGGCATATTGTAATTTTGGAACTCACCAATGGTAACATCAGAAGAACTGTGTGTTTCCAAAAAACTGTTGAGATGATGCCATGTCTTAGGAATCCAATCGATAATTTTGACTAGGTCATTATTGCGTATGTTCCTTTCAATTTCTATCTCTATCAGTTTTCTTCGAAGATATCTGCCTAAAAAGCCTTTCACCGGTTCTGTATGATTTGCACATAATACCCACCTACAAAAAAAATCAGAATTTTTTTATATAAATTACATTTTACATTCACCGTGATTATTTTTCCAATAGAAAATAATTATGTTCTCATTTCAATTGGTGGCCACATTTTGATGATCAAAGGTAGGAGGTCTACTAGCATGAGAGCTATAATGTAACTAACTACTTTTTGAGCTAAAAGGAAGCGTATGTGCGTCAGAAGTGAGTGGGAGTCTACATGCTGAACACTCTTCTGTAGGAGAATCACAAATCCTGAAATAGGAACTCTCTTCACATTTCTCACACTTAGAAGGAATATGCTCTACTTTAACCAAGGACATAGTGAAGAGAAAAAAATATTTCTTTTCTCTTATTTTTTTTTCTTTTTTTGTTTAAAGAAACACATCTGATTACAGGTTGAAGATTACAAAATATTCACTTGATGAAGAGTGCCAGAAGAAGTGAGAATTACTTTCACACTATGGGTCATCCCTGGTAAGATTTGTCAAAGCAAAAATGGAAAAACAACCCCCCAAAAGAAACAAAATGTCATCCCTCTCCCCACGCACAAAAAACAAACAAACAAATCTTCAATTTAACTTTACCTGAAATTGTGATGCAGCTCTAGATTTGGTGATGAAGAAACTCCCTGATTCATTGTTCCAATAATATATGGACTACAAAAAAAAAAAAAAAAATAGAAAATTTTAATTTACTGGAGGTAAAAGTGATTAATTCATTAAAATTATTTTAGAAAACAACTAGGATAGATATGGATTATTCTATTTAAATTTTTGTCTTTTAAAGGGTAATTTTGTAACGGAAAATCGTAAAAATCACTGGACTAGAAATTAATACTTGAGGTTTTAATTCTAGCTCTGGCATCAAGGCAAGGTATTTTCTCTCCCTGAGCCTTAGTTTATTTGTAATTTACATTATTTGAGTAAAGAGTTTAGTTAGAAAAATCACAGGGGTTTTGTCCCACATCTGTTTGTAACATCAAGAAAACCTCTAGCAGAGATAATTGGAATATTTGGCACTATTAAAACTAATTTATGTTGATATTCTTCTATGTCCTTTCTTTAGAGGCCATGCCACAGTGAATCTTCAGTGGGTTTTAATACCTTACTTTAACCTTTCCTTTTATTGTAAATATTTAAAAATCATACTCATTAATGGAGGGAGCTATATCTGAATGTATTGTGTATCTCTATAAAAAGGTTAAATTCAAACTTTGATATAAACTGAGAATGAAACCAGGGCTGTAAAGGTTCCATTTAGTTTCAATTTCCCTGATTCAAACTATTCCATCATTGATACTGGTTTCACAAATGTTCATTATGTCTGCAGAAGCTAACATCATTAAAGAAGCAATGTTTTCATAAAAGTGCCTGGAACATGGTTGTTGAATGAATACATAGATATTCTAAGGAATGCATATGGATTCTTTAAAACTATGCTATAATATTAAAGAGGGCTTCTCAAATTAATTGCATCTATTATAAATCTAAAAATAAGAACTACTCAGATAATTCATATGTTAATTAGCTTGAGTTAATCATTCCACAGTGTGCATTTACTTCAAAACATCATGGCGTACACAATCAATATGTAAAATTTTATGTGTCAACTTCAAAAGTAAAAATTAAATATTAAAAAAATTTAAAAAATTTAAAAAATGCATACAGGCACAAGAGAGCAAATTTGATGACAATTATTTCATATTTCATTATTCAAAACATTTGATAAGCATACCATTTGTTGTATTTACAATTGAGGAAACCATTGAAGATATCACTCAAAGAGCCCACATGATGAAGATTATCAAGAATTATTACAACTGGGAGCTCTACTCCGTTGTTATCAGCACTACACTGTTCAGCCAGGTTAGCTAGATATTGTTGCAATTCCTTTTAAAAAATGAAGAAAACAGATAGATCAAGGATAAATATATACTAATGGTAAGCAGTTAATATTTTAGGAATAGCATGCTTTGTCTTCTATTGTTTCTTTCATTAAAGTCATAGATTATTCAACTGATATAAATTCTTATTCTACACATCAAAAACCATATATTGCTGACAGAATAAATTTTTTAAATAAAAGAGAGGAAAAGGAAAGCAATAGAAGATCCAGTACCAAACGCCTGCCGCAAACCTGAAAGTATAAACATGAAGGCCTATTTCTCGGAGGTTTTCTCCCTGAAAGAAAAGCCAAAATGAGTTCTGGGTAGAAACTCTTATGATAAACCATATATATTGAGATTTTACTCTGAGTCTTGGTATTCAATGATAAAAGTTAATTTTAGCAACTTTAATATTTCAAGTAGGAACTAAATTGAAAATGGTACTTCTCAGATTCCACTGATATTTTTAATGTGTTAATTCTAATTCATGTAGATTGGGTATATCTCAAACTGCAGCCATAGGACCCTGATACAAGTATACTTAATTAATTATTTACTTACAATCTGCATGCAACTGCTGTAATTTTAAACAAAGACAAAAATTAGTTATATTTCACCTGGTGAAATGTAACATTAGCATTTAGTATCTCTTGAGTTTCTTGGTTCTTTTACAGGTATTGTTCCTGTCTAATAGCTTTTAATCTAAATATGATAACCAGTTTGCTGATTGACTGCTCTCACAGATGGGTAGGCCAGGAACATAATTAGGTTTCTTAAAATTATCCTAATCAGTAAGAACATTTCCATAATATTTGCATATTTACAATGACATTTTCAATTTGCAAATCGTGCTCAGGTTTATAAAACAATTCCACGATTCCAGTTTCTGGCAGCCAGGTAAATAGGTGAATTGTTCACTCTAGATGCAATCTCTCTCTGTCTGTAACACCACTGCTGAACTAAAAGTAGGAGATAAAACAATGGCCAGGATTTTGAGGCATTTAGTTATTATTTATGTTCAAATATAAAATGTATTAAAGAAATAAAGTACTATTAGTTTTCTATTGAGCTAGTCACATAAAATAAATTTTGTCTAAGTCACGGAATGCAGAAATACGTGTTTAAAACTGCTGAATATTCTGGAGAATTATATTTACTTTAAAAAAAATAAAATTTATATCACGAATTTAGCTACATTAAGACATTAATTCATTTATAAAATACTATCTATCTACTGTGTTCACAGCCTCAGACTAAGCCCTGGGTATACAAAAATAGCGAGGTATTATTCCTGTTATCAATAGTGTTTAAGTAGGTTTAACATTTATTATGAACTGCACCAAGTACTTTTCTGGACATGAGGACTAAAAAGGGGTAATCGGGTTGTCTTACCCTGTAAGCTTTAAGAGTTGTCACATTATGGACTGGAATTTAAATATGACAAATGATTTCAATGTAATATCATAAATACATTATGAGCTATGAGAAGCCAAGGAAAGAGAATTAGCCTAGATGCTGGGTGTCAAGAACGGTTTTCTGGAGGAGGTAACGCTGGAGCCTGAGAGGGGTGGAAGGCACACACATAAATAATGATGAATTTACACAATGCAAGGTAAAATATTCCATGAGAGAAGATAAAGGGGGCATGTGGCCTACAGGAGGGAAAGAGATTAATTCCAACTGAAGCATCCTGCTGGCACCAAGGATTTAGAGATAAAACATAATTTCTGTCTTTCATGAACTTAGAGTTGATAAGCACGGAAGCAAGACAGCAAATGTTTCACAATACAGCATGCTAAGTGAAATGTACAAAACATTATAGGGATACTTAAGAGAAGAATCGAATCCAGTCTTAAGGTTCATGGAACAACAGAGTACATTGGTTAAAAAGGAAAAAAGAAAAAAAAAATTGAAGTCTAAAGAATAAAAAGTGAAAGTTGAAAAGTGTACATGTATGATGTGTCTTGGGAAATAAGTGTTCTATTGTTACAGAAAATTATAGTATCATGCCAGTGGTGATGGCAGTAAAAAAGAAAAAAGGCTCAATCCATGCAAAAGAAGTTGCATTGTATTATATAAACAAGTGTCAAATATTGATATGTTCATTTGCTTCTGTTTTCAGTAGAGAAAAGCAATTTATCCAAGGAAACAGAAATGTGAAAAACATGAGAATTAATTAGAAATGGAAATCGCATTTAAGAATCTTATTACCTTTCTGGAATAGAAGGTCAGGCATATACCTATATAATGCTCAGTCAAAATAATACATTACTTCAAAAAAGTATAGATCAAAGATTTTGTTTATAGTATGTAAAGATGGCTTGTAGCCTCTGAAAAAGGCTTTTTTGCTGGCAGTATTATTTGCTATTATTCCCTTATTTGTTATTACTATTTTTAAGATTGGGTAATATCTTGATGTGTAACATGAGAGAAGGGCTTTCCAAAAACAGAATAATCAGTCAGGAACATGCAAATATAATAACCATGTAGGAAAAAAGCTAAGAGTATGTGTTTTCTGAAAGGAAATGGTAGTAATGAAATTGGAAAGGAAACGTTGCAACCTTAAATGATTAGTAAGATCATTGAACATTTCCTGTTGGCAGTGAAGAAACATTGTTCTAGTGATCTGAGTAAGTAGTCAAAGCTGTGATTTAACATGTGGCAAACATACTCAAAGGAGGAAGTGAGACCAGCCAAGAGAATATTGAAATTATTGAAGCCTAGAGATACTAAGGGACTGAACAAGGAACAGTGTGATGTTTTTGATCTAGTACAGAAAGCAGTAAGAAACTATTGAAAATTTTTAATCTGCTCAGATTTTAATTATGAAAAGATGTTCTATGTTCCATGAGGTGAATAAATATATCCCAAAGAAGAGAGAAGGGAAATTTAAGGGAGATTGCGTATCATGCAGTTACAAAATAATTGTTGAAATCCAAGAAATAGAGGAGGATGTTAATCTGGGGGGGAGGGTGGTTATGGTGGAGAGGAATGAAAGAGGATGGATTTACAATATGTGTTTGGGGCTGAAATTGTCCATTTTCAACATGTATATTTAGCAGGTGAATAGAAACATATTTGTAACATAACAGAAAGCTTACAAAATTGGGAGAGTGGGCATGGCTGACAGTGTTTAATTGGAGTCAACCACGGAAGTCAACACAAGTTGAAGTCATGAGAGTCATCCAAAGAACAAAAGTGAGAGTGAGCAGAATAATTCATTACAGAGAAAAACAGTTTCATTTACTGGGAAGAGAAGGAAGAGAAGAGAGTGAAAAAAACTGAAAGGGAATTTACCAGGGGGTAGGAAACAAACAAACAGAGAATGATAATCGTGAATGTCAGGAAAGAGAAAGAGTGGGGCGGGTACAAAGGAATTGAATTTCATAATTAGCAGGTCAATGGGTCATTTTTGGACAATCAGAGCCTTTAGATTCTAATTCTAGTGTGGCATTCTTTCATCTCGAGAGGATGGTAGATCCCTTGGGAATCTAATGGTAGGTATGAACCAGTGGATGTAGAAACAGGCAAACTATAATTTTTTCATGTAACTTAAGAGTTTTTCACAGATTCCCTTGAAATAACTTCATGATATCCACTTCAGCTTGATGAAAACGAAATCTTAGATTGAGGCACTGATGACTGTCATTAAAAGTCTTTTTTCCAGATCTATTCAGGTGGAAGGAAACAGACATATCTTCCAGATGGACGCTGGCAATGAGATGAATCCCATACTCTGAAACTGTAGGTGGAACACCACAGTTACATAAAAATGGCAGATCACTGTTTTCTCAGATTCTGACACCAGATATACTAAAAAGGAATCTATCAAGTCCACTTTCCTGATCTTTTCCAACCTAACATTCCAAATGGCTTCAGCTGGCCATGCATTCTCTACTAAATCCATCTCTAGCCTTCTGGGCCTGCTATATCAAATGTCACAAAGTGTAATTGTTTACGTGTACTGCTCTCAATCAAAATATTCCAGCTGGCAGCTTGAGGGAGAGCTTGAAATGCGGGAAGAGGAACAGAATGTAAAGTGCAGAGGTACTGAAAACAAGAAAAGATGTTTTTCATTTGATGATTTGTCATTTGATTTTTTTTTTTTTTTAATCAGTAAGTGCTTTTTGGATTTGTCTCTTCAGTGCTATCTATGGCACAGCATAAAATGCGTCAGCAGTTAAACAGCTCCAGGTTTTCAGGAACAGGATTTATTATTTCATGCCTCATTAGCATTTTACTTTAGTAAATCTACACTGTTAGTATCCCTAACACAATCTCAAGTTGTCATCCCCTCTTATTTTTATATTTGTCCTCAGTTACCCTTACCCCAACTCCCAAGAAAATAGTGGCTATTCTCTGTCAAATTGGCAAAAATTGGCCAAATTCTCTGGCAATGAGTTGGTAATCAGTATTACTGATAGCTTGTTCATATCTTCAACCATAAAGAATAAACATTTTTTCAGCTATACTTTGTGCTTTCTTGGGAACAAATGCTATTGTGATTTGTTTAAGAGTTTCTTCCTGTGACTGTTTCCCAGCATCATTGGCTCCACCAATGCTTGGCAGTGTTGTTGCCCTGCCCATTATTTTGCAATAAAATATTGAACGAACCTAATAATGACACAAATTATTATCCTCTGAAAAAGCCAAAAATAAGAGTGTTGGAAATATTTAATAAAAAATGTTAAAAGGGTGCTAACACGCTCTTAATAGAACATGGCTAAGCAATAAACTTCTTTCCTAAGCTGAAATAAAAAGAACAGATATATATAGATATATATATTATATTTTATATATATATATATATATATATATATACACACATACACACACACATACACACACACACATATATATGTATATATAGATACATATTTTATGGAAAGCTGTATTTTATAATAAATGGTAATTACCTATTTTTTTAGCATGTCAACTATATTCTAATGAAGCTTCATCTATTAAATTCGAAACTTGATTTTAAGTGAACCTCTCTCTTACAGACACACTCATTCATTTAGTCCTTAGAATAGCTCTACTATTTTCCCCATTTTATAGGCACTTTGTCAAAATGCCATGGTCTTCTCCAATAAATCTATTTTGTTCTTGCTTTCTAAGCACTTTTTGTTCCATAAAATAAGTACCTTGTAAAGAGTTCCCTCATACCAACATTGAGAAAAAAAATACTGGGGATGACTAAAGAGGACTTTCAAAACCTTCCATAGTTTTTTAGCCGAAAATATTTAAAACTGTGCTAAAAGGCTTTTATATAAAGATAAGAGGAGATAGAATTCGCAGTAAGCAGTAAACATGTCTGCTGAAGCAAACAAACAATTGTGCTCTTCCTACTTTTGCTAAAAGAGTCAAGTATTCTACCTCAGGTTCTACATTTTTCTTTAGATGGTGGTTCAACCACAATTTGAATAGGTCTGAGTTCCAAGGAAATAGTCAGAATTTATGTATTGTATTTATTTAACTCTAAGAGAGCCCATTGTGTTTTATGCACATCATTGTTCTTGAAGGATACATATAAGGCAGTTTTGAACAAAGATGTGTGTGTGTGTGGGGGGGTGCAAGTGCACATGGGTGCACTGTGAATATGTGTGTGTTTATGACAGAAATCTTCATTGGGAGTCAAGGGCTATGATTAAAAATTGCAAGTAACCCTTATATTGTGCTTGCTACTTGTGCTATTTCTCTCTCTCTCTGACACACACACACACACACACACACACACACACACACACACACACACACGGACTCATTTATTTAGTTCTTAGAATAGCCCTACCTACTATTTCCTCCAATTTACGGGTGAGAAAATTAATACTTTTTGTTCATTAAGCTATATGCCTGGTTTATTTCTAGAGTCCAATGGGGTTGGGCTGCATTTGGGAGTCACGTTTATTTCTGAAAATTTGCAGACCTCAGGTTTCTGAGAAACTGGGACAGTTTAGATCACTGAACCAGGTTATCCTTGAAAGAGTAATACGACCTAGTAAAATTGGGATTCCCTCAAGGTACTGCTTATAATAGTTGCAGTTTCCCAAGAGAAACTTTCAGGTTTCATTGATTCAGACTTTAATAAATAATTATAGGTAAAACTAGGTTAGTGTTAAAAATACGTTAGCCACCAACTATTTCCTTTTTAGGATTTTTAAAATTTTACTCAGAAAAATAACTGGCTATGTTGTATAGACCCTCATACCTTTTTCAAAGCTGAGTGTTCAGACTGATTACTATGGCACATTAGACCTTAGTTGGTGGTGAAATTGAATGTTGTTAGATTTCCTAAGGTTTCTAAACAAAAATTTTAGGGAGATGTGACATAAACAAATTGTTGCTCCCAGAACTTCTGCTTGGGATATTCTAATTATTGCCAAATGTCCACTGCTGCAACACCCATGCTATTTCCTACTTGCCTGTAAGACCCAAGCAAGTATTACCCTTTTATAACTTTCTGATTCCTCCAAGAAAAGCTATTCCTTCTTGCTTGTGCACAGACCTCTTTCTACTCTCCCAGGTGGACGTCTAAGAGAGACGATGCAATAGGGGCCCTGCCATTTTATTCTGTATATTCCCAATACCTGGTGGAGTACCTGATAACTGAATGTTACTGAAAATAGCAGTCTTGTTCAAATTCGCGAACCAGAGTTTGGTCACTTACCAGGTTACAGATCCAGTAAAAAAAAAAAAAAAAAAAATATGGATATTCTTTTCCATGTATAACATGGAAGTCTCACACAATCTTACAATTTGATTGCTTAAAACACTTATGGATAAATTGGAGCTGTTCTTTCAGAATTCTGTAACATACCTTACTTGACTTGTGGTCCACATTAAAAGTGGCAATTGCATCCTCTGTTTTTTTCCTCCCAGATTTGGTTATTACATACTCAGCAAGTTTATTTGCTAAATAGGTCTTTCCAGTACCACTTGGTCCTGAGAGTATAATTCTGTGATGCTCCATCAACAAATTAAAGTACCTTTGAGTAATTGGTTTAGGAATCAGCGTATCAAAAACAAAACTGTCCAAACTGTTTTCTTCTACCCCTGAAAGAAGAAACAAAAGAAATAGCATGACTTATTGCTCTATATAAACCAGAATTTAAAATATCATGCTAACCAGCAACAGCTTGGTTAGTCATAGGAATACAGTCCTTGCAAAACAATTTCCCAGATATTTCTATCCCACAAATATGTGTTGCCATTTTAAGGAAGAAAATATATCAGTACTATGGCAGAGTGAACATCTGGACAAAAGCAAGCTGTTCTTTATTGTTCAAGCTTCACTTCACTGTCTACTTCCTGTTTTCACTTATGCTTCCAGAGAGAAATGGAAGCATTATAAATTCTATCATAGCATCTTTTATCGAAGATGATTATGTATGTTAAGTATAAATGTGAAGATTATACACGTGTATATATAACAGTTTCTGTGTGGTCTTTATTTTAGTTTATCTTCTCCCCACCTCCTTATTCTCTTCTGTCTCTCATTATGCATGCTAGTGGTACAACCACTTAAGCTTTTGAAGAACATAAATTGTTATGTTTGGCAAGGAATTAAGTAGGGAGCAACAGTATCTTCTTTTACTAACCCAATTACCTTCATCATAAAATCAAATATTGACAAATTCCTCTATTAACTCACAGTACATATAGATGTATTCTGATTCTTTAATAGAAACAAACAAGGAATTATGAAGATAAGATACTTCAGATATTACATTACCCTATAATTAATCATATCATCCAAAGCAAAGAAAATTCTCAGAATTTCCTATCCTTGATTCTAAATTTCTATTCCCTATTCCTAGGGAGTATTTATTATGTATGTGTATTTTAAAGCCAAAGATTCATCAATGAATATGTTACTTTGGAATAGACACTAAATGTTTTAAATCCTCCTGTAATAAAAGGTGATAATGAAGAAAATTCAGAAATTTGAAGTTCCTAAATCACATTCCTTTGTGCGAGCCTTGATAAATATTTAAATCCCAGAACTCAAAGAACTTAATTTCCTTAGATTCTATTGTTTTTAGTAGGACTCTAGAATTTAATACTTTGGTGTGAAATGAGTCATATTGATTTTTTAAATACTACATAATTTTCAAATAGAAAAATTTTAAGGGAAACTAGCTAAAAAGGTGGGGGGGTGGGAGAAAAAACGTTGCTAAAATTTAAATTTGTGCCCTTCTTTTAATTTTTCTTTTTACCTTTGAGGTTCACAGTGATGATATTATTATCTCCAACAAGGTATCCACAAGGCAGCAGTTCAGGCACTTCTAGGTTATGGGATCTAATTAAGTCTCCTATACAGTAGCTAGCAATGCAGTCAGAGCTCAGACCAAGACTAGTGGATGTATCAATTCGGAATACATATTCCTAAAATGGTACACACACAAAAAAAAATAAAGTCAAAACAGAGGTTCAACTCATCTACAACAAATACATAACCCATAGGGATACAGAGCTAGTTGTCAAGAATATTAGAAATGTGTTTTATAAGAACTCTTAATATCAAATAACACAAAGAGAAAGTGTTCTTTATTTGACAAGAGGAAAAGATGTGTCTATGCTATTGAAGTTAAGGAAAACAACTAAAGAAAAACACATTTGAAAATTAATATTAGGGTGTCATGCACAACATACCTTAAAGAGACGTCTTATTACACCATCTAAGACATCCCACTTGGTTTTTCCACTAACACCAATGGATCCTATCAAATATGCCTGAGACTTTTGATCCTAAATGAGAACAAAATAAAGCAAGATAAAATACAACTGTGCATTTTTTTTATCACTACATTTTCTACTTAAATTTGTTAATGTAGTTGTTAAGACTAAAATATTTATTGAGCCTATGGCCTCTATAACAATAGACACATATGGTCAATTATATAAAATAAAATATATTTCAGCCAACTAACCAACCAAACAAATAAATGACAGCAATAGCAACTTTACTTTTACTTTTAGCAGCAATAGCAACAGCAACAAGTAAGAAAGAGATGAGATAAAGCAGTATGTTAAGAAAAACTGACTCATGACCTGTTCTATAGAAGGCAGAGGTGAAGGAATCAGAAAGAATACTCTTGCATTATAATGCAGTGGACATTTTCTAAAGAGAAGCAGCTTGGTAGGAGGGAAATGGTGAGAGAGACAGAGGAGAACCATATTATGCAAATTACAGAACTTCATCTTACTATTTTGTGATCTGATCTTTGATAAATCTGAAACTCAGTTGTTATATCAATTTTAATCTAGAATCCAATCTCACTTTAAAAAGTACTAGCTATGATCATTTAAGACATTTGCATACTTCCAAAACAGGTTCCATTTTGAATGTATCAGAAATTCTCCGTTTAAAAGACTTCGCCAGAGAAACCTACCGGACTTGTTTTTAACAAGCAAGTAATTCCTTTATAATATGAATAATCATCCCAAATCTATCTTTTTTGCAGGATGGTATTTTGAGGAATTTCTACATTAGAAAAGTAAATAATTCAGAATTTATAATCTAGCTAGAGCCTCTATTCTGATGACTAGAAATGGTTAGTGAAATAGTGATTATGATACCAGTAGATATAATTACATAGTTGACATACTACAATCCTAGTTCTAGTCACTAAGTATGTTATCATTAAGGGGTGGTAGAATAATCACTGAGTCATGGGTTAGAAGATATGGATTCTGTAACACATAATACGTACCAGCTAATTAAGAAATGTGACCTTAGGTAAATCAATTAGCTGGCTCAGAGCCTCAATTTCTTAATCTGTAATATTTAGCACCATAAGGGTAAATTGTTATCACCATTATTCACATAAAATCTGAGTTAGAATACAATACCTTTAGGAGAATAAGTTGAGAAATTCATAGCTGGTGATTATGATTTTTGTTACTTGTTATGAAATGATATTTATGTCTCCTCAAAATTCATATATCGAAGCCTTAACTCTCAAAGTGATGGTTTTAGGAGGTGAGGTCTTTGGGAGGTAATCAGGATTAGAGGTCATAATGGTAGGTAGAACTTTCATGATGGGATTACTGGGTAAAGTAAACAATTCAGGATTTGTAGTCTTTCTCTCTTCCTACCTACAGACATTGAGGTAAGACTGTGTGGGGCCAGAACATGAATGCCACCACCTGCAATACAAAAAGAGAGCCCTCACCAGGAACCAAATCAGCTAGCACCTTAATCTTGGACTTGCTAGCCTCCAGAATTGTGAGAAAATAAATTTCTGTTGTTTAAGCCACCTAGTCTGTTATTTTTTTATGGCAGTCCAGGTAGAGTAAGACAACTACTTTCATGGAAGCTTTTTAAGAGAAAGCGTTCGGGCATTCAGGCCCAGTGCAGTGGCACATGCCTGTAATCCCAGCACTTTCAGAGGCCAAGGGGGGTGTATCTGGAGGTCAGGATTTTGAGACCAGCCTGGCCAATATGGTTGTCAACATCTCTACTAAAGGTACAAAAATTAGCCAGGCATGATGGTACATGCCTGTAGTCCCAGCTACTTGGGAGGCTGAGGCAGAAGAATCGCTTAAACCCAGGAGTCGTAGATTGCAGTAAGCCAAGATCATGCCATTGGCCACTGAACTACAGCTGGGGTGACAGAGCAAGACTCTTTGTCTCAAAAAAACAAAAACAAAAAGAAATAATGTTCAAAGACATTGTCTGTTAGAATTATCGTGAACAGAAAATCTTGTTTTCAGTGTGTTCATAAGGCAGTCGCAATGGCTGCTTATGCAATACCTTATAAAAGCGGCTTTTAAATTAAAGTTAATTTATGCTTCACTGAGACTATTACAGAATCTCACATAGAGACCCACATGGAAAAGTAGGTACAAATATGCAGCTCAAGCAGAAAGTTGATGGCATTGGAATCCTTGGAATATTGGCTCAGGGTAGGAATTCATAAGTGCCATCTTACCTTTCAAACTTAATGATGTACTTTATAATTCTAAGGGATTTTTATTTGCTTGACGTAAAAAAAAAATAGGATACTTAGAAACGTGTATTTTTGGCCACTTAACTAAAAATTTAACTTAATTTTTTTTTTAAGGAGAATGACATTGACAATTTGAAGGCAATATTTATTGCAAAACATTAAAGTACTTGCTTGGTCATCTAGGACCTTGCTTAAATAGACATGTAACATCAACGGAATTTGTCCTACTGAGTTTAGTAAAACACGTGTCTTTCTGACTTCTAGAATATTTATTTACCTTACAGTCTTCCCTTTGTATAAAGACCATATTGATAGCTCTAGTAACATGTTACTGCACATGATAAACATTACTTAATAAGTAAGTTAAAATAAATAAGTGAAACCAAAAGAATATGTTAAACCAGATGTTTGTCAAAGAAATAACTTTATTTTTTTTAAGTTTTAGAAATGAGAGGCTGATGATATTTTCAGTGAATGAATGTGAGGTCCATGTAAGACACATTTCTACCTCTAGGATGATGTCATCTCTTTATTGTCCCTTTCATGTTTATGTGACATATTAAAAATCAGCCAATATGCAACTGTTGTAGGACATTTACCAGATCAAATATTCATATATGAAATATATTTTACTCATAGTAATTCTCATCTGTTAGTAATAAAGAAGTACCTTTGCTCGACCGTAGCCCTTGCTTATGGAGACTATAATTTTCACACTGCGGCCATCTTTATGTCCAGTTGCATCACCAGCATCATCTAGCAAAATATCTACCAAATTTTAAAAGAAAGACAAACACAACAGAGTAACATTAGCTCAGATTTGTTTACTGTCATTCTTTTCTCCCTCATAGTTTTATATCTTTCAATGGGATTTGCTTTCCCATTCTAGCCTAACTGGTTTGAAAAGCCTCAGCTTTCAAGAAGATGAATTACTGTGACTGGGTTAAAGTTTCAATCTAAGAATTTATTTCTGCTTGCAAAGATCTTCACTCAAGTGTTGGGCCACTCACTGCCTTTAGATGAGGAAATAAGAGGTTTCTTCTTCTATTACACATAGGTCTGAGTAATACCTGAGCAATATTTAGTCACCATTAGAACCATGACAAACTGACAAGCCATCTGATTTTTCTATCCAATCTAAAATATACAAGCTCAATAGCCATGTAATTTATAAATGTAAAGGTGCTGAGATTGACTGTCAACTGAAATTATTTTCAACCACTTGACACAACCAGCTATATAACTACTCACCTTATCTTCATAATTATTAGGTTCTGTTATTGAATTTCAACCATGGCATTATACTGGCATTATGATTGCTCTCCTGAATACTTTATGCTAATAGTTTCAAAACCAAAATAGTATTTCTAGTAATCAGCTAAGAGTTATAGAAGCATGACAAAGCTAGCTAACCTTTAAAATATCAGCCTTTAAATGGTGACTAAAGATTAACTTTCAAAATACATTATACCAGATTCATTTCCAATTTGGAGAATTATTAAGGCAAACTGTCCCAAATATATGTTTTCCTTTGCTAACAATGCTATTATAGAACCATGATTAATGTAAAGACACTGTTCTGTGGATAAATGAAACTCCATTACATGCTAAAGAGCTCATGTGCCTGGTGAAAAGAGAACTCAACTACTCTGACAATAAGTTTATAGAAAAAAGGTTATGACTATAGCATCATAGAAATCAATACTCTAATAAGATGACTTCTGAAATTAGAATGGTTTTTATTATCTTAATAATTAAGGATATATAATTTTGAAAGTAACCAGTAAAAAAACCTCTAAGATCATAACAATTTAAAACAACTTTTAGAGCTTGAAGAATATGAAAAATTCTGCAATCAATTTTTAAGTCATCAAAGATAACTTCCTGCGCTGGAGTTTAATTATTTTCCAAGTCAACATCTTAATAGTCTTTCACCTTTTCACCTACTTCATTCAAAAATAAAACTCTTCCTTAGTCATTTTAATTCTCTTGATCCTTGTCTTACAAGTATAGAGTGGTTTACCTTTGGCTGATCACATCTAGACTTCTGGCAGTTCATGATCAAATTACTTTTGTACTTGTCTTAATTACTCATAAATGTTCAAAATATTTGACAAACATTTATTAAGCATAAATGGTATCAGAAATTTTGCTGAGTATTGGGAATGAATACCAAGGTGAAAAAGAAAGTGAATTTCTTGCTTTTTTGGAGTATATATTTCAGAATAGTTTAAGCACTCTGCTAATATAAACAGGACAATGAAACAGAAAGTAACTGAAGGGAGCCTGTTCTAGATAAATAGGTCATCCCGAAAGGATTCCTTGAAGAAGTGGTATTTGGAGATAAGACCAGAAGACTGAGAAGTGCTAAACAAGTGAAGAACCAGGGAGAGATTCAGTCAACAAAAACAAGTACAAAAGCCTGAGATGTGTGAGCTGGGTATGTTAAAGGAACAGAGAGATGTTTGGGGTAGCAAAAATGCAGAGACAAGGGGAAGGTAGGGAGTGGTATGAAATGATGTGGATGGAAATAAGGGCCAAATCACACATGGCCAAGTAGTTCATGGCAAAGGGGGTTGGCCTGATTGTTGATCCATATAATCTGTTTAAATTTGCCTGGGAGTATGTTATTCATTTCATGTCATATTTACTTCTAAAAACTATGCTTACAATATGAAATTTCTCCTGACAATAGTAGGATAAATATTTACCAAAAATGAACTAATGATTGTTCTTTGCTTTTATTATGTGTCTACTTAAGGCAAAATTAACGTAATGGTGAAAAGTCCAGGCCGGGCGCGGTGGCTCAAGCCTGTAATCCCAGCACTTTGGGAGGCCGAGGAGGGTGGATCACGAGGTCAAGAGATCGAGACCATCCTGGTCAACATGGTGAAACCCCGTCTCTACTAAAAATACAAAAAATTAGCTGGGCGTGGTGGCGCGTGCCTGTAATCCCAGCTACTCAGGAGCCTGAGGCAGGAGAATTGCCTGAACCCAGGAGGCGGAGGTTGCGGTGAGCCGAGATCGCGCCATTGCACTCCAGCCTGGGTAACAAACTCCGTCTCAAAAAAAAAAAAAAAAAGAAAAGTCCAGGTCCTGGATTCATCCAAATCGGGATTTGATTATTAGTTCTGCTGCTTACTAGCTTCATGATCTTGAACAAATTATTATAGTCACCGTCCCAAGTCTTGGTTGCCTCAGCTGTAAAACGGGGCTTGAACAGCACCTTCCTGGTAGAGTTATTGAGAACATAAAAGATAATGCTTTTAAAACACTTCGTCCTCAGTGTGTACTAAGTTTTGCTCTTCTAACCATTATTTCTGTTTATTCTAACTCCTTCTGTTGATTGTGGGAGGGTCACGTCATGACTCTCAATCTCCCCTGGGCAGATTATATTGATAAGATAGTCACCTGATGAAACAAGTCCAGAAAAAGACAGCAAGTTTAATGTGAGAGGCTTCTGTATTTTTGTTTGCTTGTTTTGTTTCTGTTTTTAACCAGAAAATAAGTCGGCCAGTCGTGGTGGCTCACGCCTGTAATCCCAGCACTTTGGGAGGTCAAGGGGGGCAGATCATGAGGTCAGGAGTTCAAAACTATCCTAGCTAACACAGTGAAACTCTGTCTTTACTGAAAATACAAAAAATTAGCCAGGTGTAGTTGTGGGCGCCTGCAATCCCAGCTACTTTATCCCAGCTAAAGGCAGGAGAATTGCTTGAACTTGGGAGGCAGAGTTGCAGTGAGTCAATATTGTGTGCCACTGCACTCCAGCCTGGGTGACAGAGGAAGACTTTGTCTCACAAAAAAAAAAAAAAAAAAAAAAAAAAAAGTCATGGTCCTCTGTCTACATTTTTAAGGAAGAATTAAAAAGGTCTGTCATTCTGACTATAATTAAGTGAAATTTTGGCCAAAAACTGAAGGCTTCTCAAACATCTGTCTTGACTGGATGCATGGACACGCAATTAATATTTCAGGAACTGGATATCTGCCAATTGTCCTCTCTCCTGCCTACTTTCTTTTTTTAAGATTAATCATGAAACTTAGAAAGCTTCTCTGTCAAAAAGACCCCGCAAAAACTCATTTTGTTTTCCAAGTGTTGAACCCACTACACAAGAGTGAAGGTAATGATAACAATCTTAATTGTGTCATTTGAGTTGTTATTGTTGTTGTTTTTTAGTTCAGACATAAGTATCACTACAGAAAAATAATGAAGGAAATAAGATATATCAAAAATAACTTAGGGAATGGGTAACAAAAAAGGTATTAAAAAATGTAAAGCTTGCCTCCTCTCCCAAAATTGCCTCAACTGCTTAATCACGGCCCACAATGTGTTACGCCTAATAAACATAGAAATTGTAAATTTAAACCCTTTGATTTTATATTTATGAGTTCTATTTTTCCCAGACATTAAGTTTATATATATATATGTCTATTTTTTCTAACCCACCTTCAGTATTAAAACTTGCCTCCTTCAAACTTTATCATATTTTCATAAAATAAAACAGAATTATATTTAAAAAGGCAGTAGAATCCTGCCATTAGTTTGACCGGTGACCAGTAAGATACTGGCCTTTGTCTCTCCCTAGGAGCCAAGCCTGGGGATCCAGAAATGTATTGGTTAGCATGAGATGTAGATTTTACTTCACTTCTCTGTCAGGTTCATCAGCAACAAGCCAACATAGAGGATGTTGTCCAGAACTGTCAGATTGTATACATTTAAACATTTGTGCTCTTTCCTTTGTAGACTATTTTCTTAAGTGTGGATAACAAAACATGATGTACAATTTACACACTCAGATTATCATCTACTTCCATAGTCCTACTTAATGATCTCTAAGTTCATTTAATTCTGAAATCTCTTGCTTTTTTACTTGGCTTCTGATAATAGTTTTACTTGATATTTATTCTCCAAATTTATTTTATTCCTCTAATCCCCAGAATAATTTTATAAAAGTTGTTTTCTTAAATTATAGGGAGTGCCCACTTTACACATAAGATGAAGGCCATAATACTATATTATGAAGAGCAGCCACAGTATCAGAATTTTTAAAATTCTGACTTTTTAGAAGAGATCTGATTCATTGGAAATGTAATCAATATCAACATGCCATGTCATTTCCCTTCTCCTTCTGTGTTTTAATATGTTTTAAGGCAAGCAGTGTATTGTCTCCATTCTGTAACGGACTCTAACGTTGGCTACAAACATACATATTACTGGTTTCCCAGCGCCACCTGGTGGCCGTGCTTTACAATTACCACAGAGCCTCATGTAAATATTCCCTAGTCTAAATTCTCTATCCTTGAAATGATTCTCTTGAATGAACTGTTCCACAGAAACAGTTAAACTTTATGATTGGATGGTTCATCGGATATTAAGATGACATTATGTCACATGATTCTATTTGCAATTGAATAAAAACTGTACCCTTGATGGAAACAACAGAATCCAGTATATTATTCTTGTTTGCTGAAAATTTAAGATAGCTGCAGACTGGGTGACAGAGTAGCATCATGTTCTCTCTAGACAGCATCATGCAGGGTCTTCTAGACAAATTTAGAAAATAAAGCCTGCTACACTTATAAATCTGTTTTTGCACACTTAAAACAGAATAAAATTACATTGGGTTATTATTATTATACCCATAAGTACGAAATATATCACTGAGAGTATTATTTCTTCATCGTCATAAATATGGAGAAAGTACTTCCTAAGCAAAAGTGATTTCTTAAAAATATTATGAAGACAGTCTCTCTAAGATTGACTTTTGGACACAGAATATGCTCTTATAATTACAACTAAGTAGAATAGATTTATAAGATCAAAATAGGACTATTTCCAGAATGCAACATTTTTAGCAGTATGTAAAGCTCTCCAAATTCCAGGCTTCCCACCCGATAACTCATGGACATGCTGTGATCCAGGCAAGCATTTGTACTAAGTCACCTGAGGTAACAGTCTCTGTGATGTTCAAATTGTTTAGAGAAAGTCCTAACGACTGCCTGGAAGATGAAGAGGAGGTGCTGCTTGAGGATTCTGACGGTGGCCGAGCAGGCTTAGCTGTGTTGCCAGTTTCTGCCTTCAACCGGTCATTTTCAGCCTTCAGTATTTCAATTTCATTCTGTCGTGAAGACGGAAAACATGAAAAAAATTCAGTCAGTTTGCGTGAGAAAACAGTACCAAGTCTTTTACCAGAATTAATTAGCTTGTTTGTTAAATAAAGCATGTGGTAATATGTTAAACAAACAAATATAAGATATGAAATAAGGTTTCCTTCCAAAGAAGGAAATTTAATCTTTTTCTCTGTCTCTCACACATTATGTATTCCTGAATTCACAAATATAGATAAATTAACTATTCAACATTGTTATCATTATTTTTTTGACTAAATCATGTGTTTGAGAATTTTTTCAGGACTTGGTCTCATTTGAATTAAGAAAAATATGAGGCAATCATTCATAACATTTCTCATTTTAAAAGCAATGTTAAAATCTTATAGGCATATAATGCCATGTGTAATATTACTATTAATTTGTGGACAGTTGAAAAACAGAGCAAAACAAAAATAATGTAAATAAGGTAATTTAAAATTATTCCCGAATCTTATATAACATCTGAAAAAGTTTTTGTTTCTTCCAAAAGGGACCCTAAGGTCATAAAAAAAACAACAAAATCTTTTAGATGAATATATACAGTAGCAGATGAATCTGCTCAGAAATGAGCTGTTCTTATGTCAGTCATCTGTGGTACCAAGTGATTACTGATTTACAATAATAAAATAAAAACTTCGCCTGAGCACAGACTGTTTCTGAATTTAGCCTTTAGATGTCTTTTAAAAAATACAAAAGCTTTGCTTTTACAGATGGCATTCTAAATCACTTATACTTCCATATTCAGAAAGCCTGTGTTGAATTTCTACAGTTTCCTCATTACTTTTGTATTTCTATAGAAAACTTGTGAAAGTATTTGAAAATCAGATTTCAAAAGGACAGGCAAAAAGCCAAAATAAAAGTAAATGATGGAAAAGTGAAGAAGCAAGAATTATAGTAGCCTCTCTAAAAACCTGGCTCTCAACCTGAATCCAGTCACTAGCACAAGTATCCCGAGTGGTTCTTGAATACAACCTGCCAGTTTGCACTCCTACTTCCAAACTTGGATTTGACAAAATTCTCAGTTCAGTACTAAGAAATGAGTTGCAAAGACTGAATAAACAGAGTACATTTCTAAGGTGGGGTTTCAAGTGGCATTTGTTCTGTGTTAACCAAGAGAACAGAATAAGCAGCATTTTTGTTGTTGTTGTTCTTTCTCCATTTTATTCCCTGAAAGTGCTTCAGCACCAACCTGCATCCGGTTCATGGCTTCCCGGATCTGATCAAGATGATGAGCAGAGCTGAGAGCCTCCAGCCGAATATCCGTTAATTTTAATTCCTTTTCTCTGAGCTCACTCTTCAGCTGCAGAATTATCTCTGCCTCAGCTTCTGTGCATTCACAGATCCTGAAGAAGGAAACAAACAAAATCAGTGGTCTGGGGAAGCCAGAGGATTAAGAAAAACACTGCCTCTTTTAAAGGCTGAATTGCAATATTATCCAGCAGGTACAGATATGATTTGCTGCTGGCAAAACCTAGAGAAAAGGAGAAAGAGTTTTACAAACAGTGACGCATTCACAGGCTCAAAACGGAAATATCTTTTCCTTTAAATCTTTTTTTTTCTATTTTTTGAAGTTTAAAAACAGTCTACGGAGTATAAAGTGATCCTAAAAATTCTTTTATTGGTGATATTTATAGGCAGAAAACTCATAGATTACTACATTTCATTCCAACATTTTCAAGGGACTTAAACCTCTATTTGCAACATGTGACTTCTTTTATAAAAGCAGTTATTGCATTCTTAAAATGGTCATTTCTTCTTTTGCAAAATTGTGCAAAAAATAACTTTGCCACAAGTACTGTCTTTAAGTTACCATAAAAATCCAATATAAACACTGTAAAAAATAAATTAGAGAGATTAATTTTGGACATTTAAATAAGAGGTGAGTTATATAACCTTCCTATTGGGCTCAGCTGATTAAGGAGATCACAGCTAAATCACAGGTTTCAATGCTACTAGCAGGTTAGCTGAGGCCTGTTTGAAGGATACACGTTGTATCCTTCTGCTGTTTTATTGTTTTGTGGACAGCTTTACAGGAAATCTGTCAAAATATTGTTTTATATTAACTAACATCTTTTTCATTTGAGGACAAGTTTACTGGCTACAAAATGACAGCGACATGTTCTCCCTTTCTACATAAATGATGAAATTATATAGGCAAAGCACAGTGGCCCTGTGCTATATGAGTTCTGTGCTAGTTGTTGTCATGAGCATACAAGGAAATTAGATTTAAATAGTAAATAAAACAAAGAGAATTATCTCATCGTAACACTTTTCCACATTCAAAATGTGTTCATTCTTGTACAGAAGCCCTCCCTTATCCACAATTTTAGTTTCTGTGGTTTTAGTTATCTATAGTCCAATATGGTCCAAAAATATTACAGTGTTTTGGGCCAGTTACAGTGGCTCACACCTGTAATGCCAGCACTTTGGGAAGTCGAGGCAGGTAAATCACCTGAGATTAGGAATTTGAAACCAGCTTGGACAATATGGTGAAACCTTGTCTCTATTAAAAATATAAAAAATTAGCTGGGTGTGGTGGTGCACACCTGTAATCCCAGCTATTCAGGAGGCTAAGACAGGAGAATCGCTTGAACCCAAGAGGCTGAGGTTGCAGAGTGATCCTAGATCCTGCCATTGCACTCCAGCTTGGTTGACTGAGATTTCGTCTCAAACAACAACAACAACAATAACAAAAATTACAGTGTTTTGAGGAAGAGAGAGACCACAGTCATATAATTATCACAAAATATTATTATAATGTTCTATTTTATTATTGCTCTTAATCACTTATTGTGCCTAATTCTAAAATTAAATTTTATCATATATAGGTATCTATATAAAGAAAATAAAAACATAGTATACATAGGGCTCGGTGCTATCTGTGGTTTCAGGCATCCACTGGGGGTCTTGGAAAATCCCTGGTGAATAAGGGGAGGCTACTGTACTACCAGAAAGTGGGCTACCATAAAAATGTTATGTTAGATTACCTAACAGGATTAAAGAAAACTAGACAGCAGATCAATTTTAGGAAACCAAATTTTAGTTGAAAAAACAGAAACAGAAGGCATTTATTGTTGAAATGCATGTGAGTGATTTTAGAAAAAGCAAAAGCAAACACTACTTAGGTTAGAACCTGGATCTTGGCAGTTTTCATGCATCACACTCCACTTTACCGAGATCTATGCTTGTAGATCACAGGGCCATTTTGTCGTTTCTTTGGTGGCCAGACAAGGGGTGACCTGTATGTACATACAGTTAGACAGATACATGGACAAATGCCCGTGGAAAGAAGTGAGAATTATGATTTAGAAAAATGAAGAATGAGATCAAGAAACACTTGAATTCTAACATACGAAAATAAAACAGAAAAACAAAAAGAGAAACCAATGCTGCCCATCATTCTCAGAAAAATCTGAAAATAATTGGCACAGATATGATTGGAACTTAAATTGCCCTTGATCTAAAATTGTTTTTTAAAAATATTTCTGCATTTTGCAGAAGGAGCGACTTACGCTGAGGCAGATTGTGAGGGCTTCATGGATGCTGAGCCACAGTCACCAGCATTATGGGGCAATTTGGGGGATGCTGGAAGGGATGAATCAGTAAGCTCTTCAATGTCGGAATGTGATGAAGGAGGCTTGGTGGACTTTTTCTTCCCAAAGGCTTGTTTGAAAGAACTTCTCAGCTGAAAGAAGGACAGAAATTACCCTTCTTGTCTATTTGCACTTGGCGAGCTTTTGCTTTAGGGCGTTAGTTTGCAGATGCCATCCTAGCCACTGCCTGGGGTCAGTATGTACAAGCAGAGTATTAACAGTTGCAGCACAGTATCTCTAAAAAAAAATGATACCATGTTTTGTGTGTTCATTTTATTCTTGTATTAATCCAGCGCAGCGCAAACATGGAAGGCTTTTAAATAGTGCAAGGTCAAGGGCATGGCTGTCAGAGCACTCATTTAAAACTAAGTACCTTGAAGGGATCTCCATTCCCAATGCTTCTCTCTTCAAGGCAATTTGTTTTAAATGGCCACTTTAGCGCTACAATCAAGTCATGTCCTGCTGACAGTACAAACTTAAAAAGCAAAATGAAATCAAATTCACCTAACCCTTCATTAAATGTGATTTTCTATTCAAATTTTCCAATCCCAGACTACGCAAAACCAGAATTGGTATCCCCTACAGCTCTATTCAGAAAGTGGTTTTACATCTCTTTAAAATTTGAGATTAAAATGAAAAGACACAAAGAAAAGACATACAAGGTAATCTGTTTTAAAAGCTATAAAAGCCTACTGCCAAAATGAATAGCATTCATGCCAAGGTAGGGTTTTTGTATAGATGCATGCCAAATTGTCCACAGTTTATATTCACCTCACTTCCTCTAGAGTTCACCTTGCAGAAACATGAAAGAGTGTGGAATTACAAATCAAGGGAATGAAGGCTGATCAGTATTTTAAAATATTACCTGTATAAACATTATTTTAAAACAAAAAGATATTTCTTCCATTATTTGTAGAAAGTACTCCAGTAAAATCCTCTGATAATTATGTTTGAATTGCATGAAGAGTTGTATTTTCTTAAAATCTACCCCTTGTTTTTTGGTGTTAAAAGAAATCCTTGACAACATTGTTTTTAATTTTTTTTTTGCAGTAATAGTATTTTCCCCTCGGCTATTTAGCTATTGATCAACATCATAAATTATATCTCTAGCAAACTTAAGGTACAGTTCTATTAAGGTACATTTCTATATTTCTGCTATATTCTCTTGTTTAAAAAAATCAAGCAGACACTAATGTGGTTAATTTCTTTTAGGGTAAAACTATTCACAGTGTAAGCCCTTTTGATTCTCAGGGCGGAAGGAGAGCTTTCACGGTTTCTTCTTTCCTTTTATTGATTTCTGTTCTTCTTTTCCTCCAACATCACTATCACCATTATCATCACCATAATCATCATCATTTTTCCAGTTTTCCTTCATCACTATCCCCAAAATAAACCCCTATTTTAAGCCATTTATTCACAGATGTAACATTTTTCTTTAGTTTCTATAGTTATACTATAGATAAATAAGATATCGTCTGTGAATAAATTGTATCCACAAATAAATACAATTGATATTAACTATCTTTTTATAGGTAAGGAAATTCAGGCCCCTCAAAAGGTGAAGCAACCTGACCTAGATCCAGTGGTGATTCAAACCCAAGTTTAGTCTCAGTATTAAAATATAGGCTTTTCAGTGCATGCCACACTAATTTTGGTGATGAGTGCAGCATTTGAGGTGTCAGTAGCTTGAATGGGACACTTCGTAAACTGCTGCAGATCACTAAAGCCCCAAAGAAAAAGGCCTAACTCATTACGCATTGATAAGCTTCTGAATTAGGTGAAGGATGGTGGCTTACCCAGTTTTTCTTTTTCTTTTTCTTGGAGTCGGCATCGTTACCACTGCCAATACTGGAATGGCTTGTGGCACTGTTGATACTAGAAACACTTTCAGAAGAATGCTGTCTTCTGATGCGGAGATCTAGCAACAGATAGAGAGTATCACATTGGCTCACAAAGAGTGTCAATCTGAACAAATAAGTCTTTTAGGTCTTTTGAGAGGATATTCTCTAATAAAGGTCAACAAGGCTTTGTACAGATAATTTCAATGCAGTTTTGGTTTTAGAAGTTTAATAAAGTACAACCATATTTTTTTAATTAACTGAGTTATCTACTTTAAGATTTAATGGGAATCTCATATAAGTCTGTAGCCCTTGCAGTTTAATGAGTTCTGAGTTTTGTCTAAAATTAAATGCTATGCTAGTGATTTCTACTGAATACCTGGATCAAACAGCTTTTCCAAAATGATTTGTTCTGAATGATTAATTTCCAGGAGTAAATGGAAACTCATAATAGAATGAGAATTAATTGTGCCTTTTTAATATTTGTGCTTCAAATACAGTTACTAGAGCCAAGTGTATTAACTTTCCATTTCATAGAATCATATCATATTAGAGCCAAAACAAACCCTGGAAGGCATGTAAGCACATAGTCTCATAGATGAGGAAACTGGAGTACAAAGAAGTTAAGTAACTTGGCCAAACAGCCAATGAAAGACAGATCCTCCAAAGAAAGTCTAGGTAGATGGAGTTTGTAAATTCAACAGAGGACATATTTAAGACAGTGCAATTCTTCCAATGTACCCGTACTCCCTGCCCATGACTTATTATAGAATAGTAATAGTAATAATAAAACTAGGTTTTACAATATGCTAGATATGCCCCCAGAGTATCTAATTTTATTCTTAAAGCAACCCACTGAAATGAGTTTAATTACGAACTGTAACTTGCACATGGTCACATAGCTGAAAAATAGTGGAGCCAGGCTCAGCCCTAGACTGATTCTAATGTCCACTGTATTAACTACCATGTGTGCAGCACATGGTGTGGCCTTGCTATACTCTAAAAGCAAGCAGTGTTTCTTTAGCTAAGACATTTTGAAGATAATAGCATTTGCTTTTTAATCATATTTAAAGGTATCCACTTCTTTAATACAAGCACCTTATGAGATTTATTTATAGTTATTAAAAGTAAAACAAACTGAAATTTTTCCTAATTAAAATGCACTAGTTTTAAGTATTAGTGAGACACTAAGAAAATTTACAGAATTGTACTTAAGGTCACATTTGCTTTTAGTCCATTTCCATTAATATATTTATTGGCATCAAGACATATTAGCCAAGCAAAAAAAAAATCTCAGTGGAAGTTGTAAGATGTCAACATTTACTATAAAGCAGACTATAAATTTACTATAAAGTTTCTATAAAACTAATACCATAAAATCAAGCCTTTTCAATTGACTGATTTACTGAATAGTAAAAATAATTTACGGCAACAAAACTAGAATTGGTTGCTGTCAAAACATATAATAAACGAGTATGTACATATTAATAGACATGTAATATATGTATATACATATATATACATATGTATGTGTGTATATATCTATCCTCACCTTCATTTACATATATATCAGTAAGATCCTTAATTTTTCTACTAACAAAATCATGCTGAAAAATTTTATAGGAAGAAAACACATAGAGCTTTTTTTTTTTAGAATCCCTAGAGATCGCCCCTTAAAATTATTTTAAAAAGTAATGATGAGAACATTAACTGGTTTTGCATGCCAAAATATTACCAACATCTAAACTTAAATCAAGGTATTCATGTAGGAGGTTTTAATTCAACAATAAAGGAATCTGGTATCCTTTAATCAACTATTATGGAAGTCACATAAATAGACAATAAAAGAATATGTGTATTTCTTCGTGTTTTAAATTTTTGCTGTGATTGGCCATTAGCTTTTTGAAAAAGATATAGCATTTGATAGCCCATTCCTAATAATTGACTTTCACAAATAGAAAAGCACAAAGTATTAAAGTATTTCAGAATTTTTATTATATCTGTAATTAATAAATTGTGTTTGACTTCTTTAATACTACATTTTTAAAAAGATAGGTAAATTATTATAATCATAGGTCAAAAGTAGCCCTTGGAGGTATCAGTTACTTTCAAGTATGACTGCATTCGCCAATAAAGATTGGCAAAGCCATAATTTTAATATTTTGAAATGAAGGAAATGTGTTTTACCATTCCCTAACAATTCCTTTTTAGTACTTATAAGTATTTAATTCGGTACATGGGGCATCATAAAGTTCAGTAAACAACGGCTAACCACATGAATATCAGCCATCCAAATGAATGGAGAAACCTGTTTTTAAAGTGAAGATTTCAGGTATGTGTTTGTTCACTCATCATTTTCCACCTCTCATCTTCTGCATCACCATGGCCCCAGTTCAAGCTACCAATAAAACCTTTACAGCAAATACAGCTACTGAACTTACTCATCTCCAAACCATTCTATAAACAATTGCTAGAAAAATATTTTTTAAAAGGAAAACTTCATCAACACTCCCCCACTTAAGAGCTTTCAGTAACTTCTCACTTTAATAAGAATAGATTAAAATATCCAACTTCTAAATATGGCCTACAATCCCTTAGTAATCTTGTCAGTTCCTAACCCATCCACCGTGTTCTTCTTATTAAACAATTGCTTAACATATTCCTTACGTTAGATCCATAAAGGTATTAATTTATTTTTTGCCTCAAAGTTCTTTTGAAATGTTCCTCCCTCAGTACGTATGATTGAAAATTATTCCTTGGATATTCACTTAAATCTTACTACCTTGGAATAATCTTCCCTGACTATGCAACCTCCGGTAGGTTCCTTGGTACCCTCTTTCCCTGTGGTACCCATTACTGCCCATCTTAGAACTTATAGCATATGGCATGTGGTATCAATCAATACATAGCTGTTAAATAAATCTAGTCTATTTTTACATTCAATATAACTATGTTTGCCCATCATTATTTCTAAGAAATATTTAGTGCTGACATAACTTTAATACATGTGTTAGCCAGCTATATTTGGTATATCTTAAGAAAAAACAATTTCATATTTACACAGAAATAGTGACTTAAAACACAATGTTACATTTTGAAAAATAAAAGTAAAATTTTCTATTACCTTCAACTTTCAAATTTCTTATCACAATTATTATATTTGCAGTAGGTTGTGAGACCCATGAGCATAGGGTAATTTTTTAAATATTTGTATTTTAAGACCTGATAATGCCTAGTATTTAACAGCAGGTGTTTAAAGATGTTTGTAAATAAAAATATTTTATTATAGACTATAATTATTAAACTTTGTTAACGAATGTGATGCATTAATTTAGAGAAAATAGAAACATACATTCACAAATCGGTATGTGATTTTGTGACAGTCTGACCTGTCTATAAAGCTGTTGCCTCTTCTAAATATATCTTTTAAGATCATATATTAAAAATATACATGACATAAATATTTTAAGGGTCTCTAAAAGTGAATTTCAATATGATTTCCAAATATAAATTTATATGACATACAATTACCTTAATAACCCATGAAAAGACACATAATTAGCCCAACTGACTATTTTTTCAATATAATGTCAATGATCAATGTAATAAGAATCACACTTTGTGTTCATTAAATTTAATACTGGCTGGGTACGGTGGCTCAAGCCTGTAATCCCAGCACTTCGGGAGGCGGAGGTGGGTGGATCACAAGGTCAAGAGATCGAGACCATCCTGGTCAACATGGTGAAACCCCGTCTCTACTAAAAATACAAAAAAAAAAAAAAAAAAAAATTAGCTAGGCATGGTGGCGCGTGCCTGTAATCCCAGCTACTCAGGAGCCTGAGGCAGGAGAATTGCCTGAACCCAGGAGGCTGAGGTTGCGGTGAGCCGAGATCGCGCCATTGCACTCCAGTCTGGGTAACAAGAGTGAAACTCCGTCTCAAAAAAATAAATAAATAAATAAAATAAATAAATAAAAAATAAATAAAAAATAAATAAATACTGAGTTTTAATATTACAGAAATACAATCTAACTATCCTGTATACATTTAACCCTTTATAGCCAGTTGTGTTTGTTAGTTTTAAAACCTAGAAAATTATTTTTAAATATTTCTTGATCAATTTATATATTAACTGTTATTTTTCATCTTAAGCACCTCCCCTCTGAGCAAAGGAATTCCAATTTTTCAATTTCAGTAAATCTATTAAGCTACCTATTGCCTAAGATAAAAGGAATCCTTTCAGAAAGTTTCACTTTAGTGACTTGTGCTGTGTTAAAGTAAGGATTAAGCCTTTTAAAATCCCTTCTGGACCTATTTACAACATGAAGATTTAGAACATAAGTTGCTTTATTATAGCTCTAAGATAAGCTTTAAATATGCAGTAATTTTCCATGCATCACGTAAATCACTCCTCCACATGGAAAGTTGCTAAATTCTTGAGACAAATAGCCCCTGCAGAACTACTTTGTCCTTCAATTTAAGTATATCTCACTTTATATAATTGTTTTCCTAAAGTTTAAATTGAAATTCATTTTAAAAATTACATTATTCTTTTTTAAAGTATTCAAATACGCCCCTTTTATGTACAAGACATCATCATGGGCACCCGGATGTCTTTGAAAAGGGTGAGAAAACAAACCCTACTATTGTTAATCAGGAAAGACATGCCTTAAATAAAAGCCCCAAAGTATAATGTAATTTTAAGAAGGGAAGTATAGCTATTTCCAGGAACATATCACAGGGAACTTCATTCAGTGTAGGGGTCAAGGAAGCATATTTAGGCTAACTGCTGCAGTGTCTCATAAAGCTTTTATGCTTTTCAAACAAGATAGAATATTCTAAATGGAATGAACACAATTTATAAAGAACTTATGAAGAACTGAAAAATATCAGGATAGCTGAAATGTAGAATAACAGAACAAGAAGTGAAGTCTGTATGTGCATCATCTGGCACATAATTGGTTATGAATAAGTATTTATTGAATGAATGAAGCTGGTGAAGAGAGATTATGTCATGTTGAAGAGTCTATTCCACCTTAAAGGCAATGGGATATCTCTAGATGTGTTTCTTTTTTTTTTTTTTTTTTTTTTTTTTGAGACGGAGTTTCGCTCTTGTCACCCAGGCTGGAGTGCAATGGCGCGATCTCGGCTCATCCTCGGCTCACCGCAACCTCCGCCTCCTGGGTTCAGGCAATTCTCCTGCCCCAGCCTCCTGAGTAGCTGGGATTACAGGCACGCGCCACCACGCCCAGCTAATTTTTGTATTTTTAGTAGAGACGGGGTTTCACCATGTTGACCAGGATGGTCTTGATCTCTTGACCTCGTGATCCACCCGCCTCGGCCTCCCAAAGTGCTGGGATTACAGGCTTGAGCCACCGCGCCCGGCCTAGATGTGTTTCTTAATGACTGTTCTGGCCTCAGTCTGAAGACCGGTGGAAAGTACTATAAGATTGGGAACAGAAGACTATTTAGGGGTTTGTGGTCATGGTTCAGAAGAGAGATGATGGATGGTGAGAGTATAATCAGAGAAAAGTGATTAGATCCAAGAGATATTTAAGGGGTATAATCAGTAGATGTTGGTGACTTAGTCAATAAGGAAGAGGAGGAATTATGAAAAGGAGGAATTCTTCAGTGGTGAACCAAGAAGTAGGGGCAGTGAAAATTCTAAGTATTTTCATGTTTAGAATTGTTGAAGCATAGGAATAATATAAAACAGACCTACCTTTTGTCCACTGTTTTTATTTAAATTAAAACTGTTTAAAAATTATCTATAGGAAATGTACTTTTTTGTAGCCTCAATCCAGGAAAACTTGCTCCCAATTCCCACTGCTTGTTATCTCATCATATTGACTATTTGATTTTTATATACAAATCTGGATTATACTCATTAATGGGTTTGTTTTGCCTGAATTAAGATATGCATGTATTAACCAACCATTCCATCTCCATCTCCACTGTATCAAATAGGGAGATGTGTATACAACTATAGAAGCAATTTCTTAATATCAGTTTAAAAATTATTTGATAATGCAAGTCCCTGTTCTAAAATTCGAGGATTCTGACCACATTAATACCAACTTATTCATTATAAAAGGCAGTGGCACTGAGTAAATGCAGTTTTACTGTAATTAATAAATAAAATAGATGCCTATTATATTGTGTGGAACTGAAGCTATTTATAAATATACCTTTGGGAGGGTGATCTGGACCATTCAGTGCTCCCTGAATAGCCGCCTGGGCAGCGGAATTCTGAGCCTTCAGCATTTCAATGGTTTCTCTTAGTTCTATAAGTTCAGACTCCTGTGAAATAAACAGAGTTTGGAAACTTTAATACCTAGAAAGAAAACTAAAATCTGCTTTTTCATAGTGACTATCAAAAAGGTTTGATTTTATGTAGTAACAACCTCCTGGAAGATTTGGATGCTTAGTTGAACTTGTGAAGTTGTACTTAGTAACTTCTTTTTTAGCTAAAGGAGATTTTTTCTTAGTTATTATCTTATAAAAGCGATATGAATAGTTTTTATTCCTTTCAAAGGGTGGCCCCCAGAACTCACTAGCACAAAGTAAAACAGGATATCACATCACTAAATTCAGATAACATACTTATTAACATTACCTATGATTATATTAGATGTTGATATATCAATATTGGACTGTTGCATTGCATTGTATTGATTGTCAGCTGGAAACCTGAGTTTTCATCAAATGAATGATTTCAGATTTTGTTGAAGTATTTTGTGTCTGCAAAATTGATTCTTTGTATTTAAGTGTAAAACCTGGAACTTACCCTAAATTCCTATTAAATGTCATTTTACTAAATTCTGATGCCATATCAAGGTCATGTTTCATTCTGATAGTTTTTCATTTAATAAGACTCCTAATGTAGAGACCTAGTCTCACCAAGCCAAAGCAACAGGAATAAAGTAAATAAAACTCTCTCTCTCTCTCTCTCTCTCTCTCTCTCTCTCTCTCTCTATATATATATATATATATATATATATATAATACAATTTAAAAATAATAGTTAAATTACAAAGCAGCTTACAAATCAAATTCTAATAAAGCATATATTTTCTTATTGCATGTAGAGTAATCTTAAGATATGTCCCAATAAAAAATACTTGTACATATTTGACCTTTCATAGTTATTTAAGTAAATTATTTTATCTGAAATAACTCATTATGTGTAAAATAAAATAACTCAAAAAAGACAGAAAAAAACGAACTGAGTGTTGTTTCAGTATAGACCATATTGCCATTAGAAGCCCAACGATAGAAGGGGTATCTTTCTTGGTGGCAATAAAATCCTAAAAATCAGATCTTTGCCAGCCTCTTAGAGGGAGAATTTTTTGGTAATGTCTTTGTCATTCATCATTTTCTCTAGCATCTTTGGCAGAAAGCCAAAGACTCAGGCTTGGGTTCTTCATTCTCTGGTAAATCATTTCTCTTTACTCAGTATCTCCCAGAATATATATTTTAAAAAGATCATCAACAACAGCCTTTGCAGAAAATTGTTTCATACATGGGAATATCCTGTGACTATTCTAACCTTAGACACTTAAAGAAAACTACAGATGATGCTAATTGAAATGATATCCAAGTTTGGAATGGATACCTGGCACCTCATATAACTATTTTCATTGAATCCCTGACATCTTCCTGATAGAGAACAGTTAAATTTAAAACAACTCTTTTCTCTGAGTCTTTTCATATAATTTTTCCCTTTAAATATCCTTCCTCACTGTTAAAAGCCACGGTAAAATGTCTCCATACTTGTGAAACCCGTTTTCCTGTCAGAAAAAAAATGAAGCTGTGCTTCAAGACTATTTAATGTATTTAGCTTGTCTAGTTGTTGATGAATATACTTTATCACCTGATTTGTGAGCTCCAGATTAACTGGGATGATTTTGTTGAAGTGTTTCAGTCTGTGTTAAAAGGATGTTTCTCCCCTTGAAGGAATAACATAAAACTTCAACTTCATTGCATACTTTTATTTATTTATTTTTTTTTTACAAGAGGGTGTCTGCTGATCACCTAAAAGTGGAGTAACATTTTATTATTTATTATAACCAGGAAGTCTTATTATGATTAAATCAGTAGAATCACCCCCTTTGGATGGGAACAGAGTCAGGATTTCCTTTCTCTCTTTCCCAATAGTGTTATAGAGATGAGCATAAAAGAGTTTTAAATAAAAACTTAACTGAGACATGGAAATTTTTCAATAGTTTATTTTTAGTCTTCATTTTTCTTCTTCATAATTATGGTTATTCACATTTATTTTTTAAGTTATATGCTTCTCAGGTTTCTATAATGCATAGAAATTATAATGTGGCCTCCAGACACAACTATGAATTTTTATTTATTTTTTGTCTATAATGGGGAGTTTGGATCAGGAATATGATTAAAAATGAATTCCAGAGGTAGCTAACTATAAAATCATTAGATATTCTAAAATATTCTCATATAATTTTTTTTAGTTGAAGGGAAATAATAGAAGATACTAAAGTTTTGAGAATCCCTATCAATCATTCAGAAAAAAAAAAAAAAACTAAAAAAAGTATAGCCATCAACATATGAATTTAGTCTACTCTTTCAATTCAGTCATTTCCAGTTTTTTATTCTCATTAAATACCAAAGAGAAGATTGAGGCTGGGATAATTCTGCAAAAGGTTTTAGGAATAAGATAATCTGATCATATTTTGTAACTTCACACTTTTCAAAAATGATAGATATTTTAAAACCTGAGAACCAAAGTAAGATTTCACTTTCCTCCGATGAGCTATTCAAGATAATGATACCCCAATATCTGCTGACCTTGTAAAGTTCTAGTTTTCCATGGACGTTTCTCATGTAAAGCAAGCTGAATGGAGTTGATGTCTCTTTTCACAGTTTTATGCATATCTCTGAGGCTAAATAATTTATTAAGGTCAGGCTTGAAATGTTTCAAAATAAAAGATCAAATGTTGTGTCACAATACTAGCTTGTCCTGGTGGTCTTTCCAATCCATTTTCTTAACTATACCCGATCTCTTTCCAAATTTCTCACTAATAAAGGCTTTGCTGAGAATCTCACAAGCTTGGGACAATCTCATCAACAAATCTCATTAACCAAACTTACCTTCTAGGCCAGTCCCTTTAAATTTTCCACCACATCTGTCTTTTGCATCCTCATGTTGGCACTAGGTTAATTTCATACTTCCCAGCTCCAGTTTCCTCAAACAGGTCCTCCCTTCCTCACTCCACTTTGCATTTGAGGTCTTCCTAATTGTTCTGTTAAAGAACCTGGCCATCCCTACTGCATCTATTTTCACCAAACACTAGTGGTGCAAATAATTTGAAAATTATAGATTCACATTATTCTATGCCCTGAAGGTTAGTGGATGAATCATCTGACTCTAGTGATACATTTTTAAAAACACTTCTAGAGGGCAAATATCATAACATAAATTGGGGAGAGTTAATGTAAAAATCGCATTCAACTAAATTTTTACTTGCAGCATTATCTATTTTCAAAGATTTGGCTTCAAATTCCCTAATTTGAAGGTTTTGATTTCTATTCTGTAGTCATCCCAAAAAAACAGTTTCAGAGAAATAACAAATAAGCAAACACTAGGCTTTATGGTTAGCATAGGAGTCAATATCTGAGCTTCATCACTCATACAAGGGGATATTCCTCTGCCCTGCTCTCACCTTCTGACAAGAAAAACCTATCATACCTTAACATATGTTCTAATTGCCTTGCCATGACAGTTACAGGGAACTAATTTGAAAATCGTCTCAGTTTTAAATTCCTAAATATTTAGCACTGAGTATAGCTTTAGTAAATTTGAACACAAGGAGTTGGAAGTAGTTTTGTAAAAATGTTACATATAAAAATATAGTTTTCTGGATTTTTTCCAGTTGAGCTTTTCTCAACTGGCATTCTGTGAGAAAATTAAGCCCTGCACAATGATTCGAGTAGCGATTTCCTAGATTCTGACAAGAGTGGTACATAGGTAGTGCCATTTTAGATGGTGAGAAAAGAAGCTATTTCAGCACATATAATGGATGCCCCAGGGCATCAGGTTTAATTTTTTTTTTCATATAATCCTGGTGAAGAAGTGCTGGTAAAATAATAAGGATCTGAAATCAACAGAAAATTATTGGTCAAACTCTGTCAATTTCATAGTCTACTGAGCCCTAGTTTAGGTATAGGGTAATGCCTAGAGATACTTTCACTCCCAGCAAGCATCTTAACAATTTTCTTAATATTTAGCTAGTTACAGATTACTAATATAGAACATGTCTTCTTTTAGCAGCTATTGGAAACACTGTTTAACTTTTGGAAAATGCTGCCAGTTGAACACTAACTTTTTTTTTTTCTTTTTTTTTGAGATGAAGTCTCACTCTGTTGCCCAGGTTGGAGTGCAGTGGCATGATCTCGGTTCTCTGCAACCTCCACCTCCTGGTTTCAAGCGATTCTCCTGCCTCAGCCTCCCCAGTAGCTGAGATTACAAGTGCCTACTACCAAACTCAGCTAATTACTTATTTTTAGTAGAGACAGATTTCAACATATTAGCCAGGCTGGTCTTAAACTCCTGCCCTCAAGTGGTCTGCCCGCTTCAGCCTCCCAAAGTGCTAGGATTACAGGTGTGAGCTACTGCACCCAACCAATCACCAACTTACTTTTATCACATCAGTCTAGTGTTAAACACCTTTAAGTGGTTTCTTGTTTTCAAAGACCCAATTCCTTAAACTTCTTTCTAGTCTTAGTCTCTAGCTTAGTCTTACATTTCCCACATATTCTCTATTTTTCCCTTAATATCTTCTATAATTTTTCTCTTTCTTGCCCATGCTCATGCATGTTGTTCCTTTTTCTGTGACATACATTTCTATATTTCCCCTGAATTAATCCTCTTTATCCTCCCAAAGCCCGAGGAGTGCCCTCTGTGCCACCTCTACTCTGCAGGCATTATGCAGATGTGAGTTTTCTTTGAGAATGCACATGACACTGTACTCAGTCTAATGGCATGATAATTTTCTGCCTCTGGGTTATTAATACATGCCTTTTCTTTCTTACCAGGCTATAAGTGTATAAAACCAGTGTTCTGGCACACAAATTTGGCAAGAGATTCAGTGTTGTTTGGCAACTGGAAATAGGAAAAGTGTTAGAAGTGAATCCCTCTCTATTCAAAGGAGTTATTTTGGTCTATAAATCAAACAAAAAGTTTGATATAGTTTCAGGCTATTAATGCCATGTGATTGCTGAAAATCACACTGTGAAGCCCAAAGACTAGAATTACAGCCTTAATTTAGTTTATCCATTTTTAAAGTATACATGTGTATATATACACATACATATATATGTATATATATACACATATACATATATAAAAATACATATATACATATATACACACATATATGAATACAAAAATAAATACAAAATAATATATGCATACATATATATTTATATATGTGTGTATATATGTATTTATATATGTATATATGTATTTTTTTGTTTTTTAAGATGGAGTCTTGCTCTGTCACCCAGGCTGGAGTGCTGTGGCACAATCTTGGCTCACTGCAACCTCTGCCTCCCAGGTATGATGATTGTCCTGCTTTAACCTCCTGAGTAGCTGGGACTACAGGTACAGGCTACAATGCCCAGTTAATTTTTGTTTTCAGCAGAGACAGGGTTTCATTATGTTGGCCAGGCTAGTCTTGAACTCCTGACCTCAGGTGATCCTACTGTCTCAGCCTCCCAAAGTGCTGGGAATACAAGCATGAGCCACCACACCTGGCCTGTTTTAATACATTTTTATTATCATCTGTCATAACTCCATGATAAAGAGATACATATATATCAGAAATATAAACTACATGAGGAATGTTATATATATATATAACATATATATATACATGTATATATATACATATATATGTATATATATATATATACATGTATAATATATTTTTAGAGTTGTAGTAGACATCTGTATCTGTAGATACAGACCTATATCTATCATTCTATAGCTATATTTTCTGTACTGTTTTGTCATTAGAACAGCACAAATTCAATATAAACTTGATGAATGACTAAGTATACAAATGAAGCTTATAACTCCGGGAAGGGGGTTTAGAATCTCTGCTCTGTATTTCACAAGGCTTTTCTCAGGATTGTGGATCACCAGAGAGCAATATACCCTTTTATCTCAGCTCCCTGAATAAATGCCTTTAGTGAAATATGATTAAATGTTATGCCCTTAGCTTTTAGAGAAATGTCTATTTGAACAGTGATTTTGTCTTTTGTTATTCCATGACCCTAATTTAAAAATCTTGGCAATAAATTTGTCCTTGAGTTTAGTGCCAAAGAGTTTGTCTCTTCAGTTTACATTTTGCTCTTCTGGCCAGAAAATGAGAATAAAGCACACCAAGCAATCTGCCTTTATACCTCAGCTTCCTTGAAATTCAATTCAGTTCAGTGCCTTGCAGTAGTAATTATCTAGGCTGAGGTACATTGTTATATACATTACTCTACTGGCTTTCATTAGATTTTGTCCTTGAATTATACCATTTCATATTACAAATAATTTCACGGGCTTTTAAAAATCACTTTGAGAATAAGCAAATTATAATCTCAAATAATAAACTAGTTAACCAAGATTGTTGTGTGTATACAGTTTGCAATTCAAAAAGAAGTGATTTTATTATCAGTTAAAAAATGACAAGGGCAATATGAGACATTCTGATATCTTCAGAGAAAATTTTAAATGTTGACAATGTTATTTTAAGTATAATGTAGGCACATTATAAAATCTCTCATTACAGAAAAGTTTTTAAATATTCAGGGATTAATCATAGGCATTATAAGTTAACTTCCTTTTTTATTCAGTTGCTATGAGAACATTTACTTACAAATATAGCAGAATTCAAGATAATATTGGGTGGAGGACAAAATTTATATTAATTTTGACTTCTTAAAGATATCAAGACTTAAATTCTAACGCTCATTTCCAGCAATATGCTTGGTAAATGCCCAGTGAGGAATCTCCTTTTACCTTTTAATTTTCAAGGGAAAATGAGAAATGTAAAAGAAGATAATATTTTTTGACATGCCCTAGCATGTGACATGATCAGAGTATCTTACTCCTCATGGTGATACTACAAAGTAGTTATTATCATCCCCACTTTTAAAAAGGTGAATTTGAGATTCAAGAAAGGTAAGATACACTTGCTCGATTACCCAGCTTTTAACAGACATAGCCAGAATTCTCATTCAAGAATACTGGACGCCAGTGTTTTCATTCTTTCCCATTAGCTGCTCTAAAAAGCCTTGTAATTCTATTTTCTAGATTCTTATGTTACATAGTGAAGTGACAAACTGTAACAACAACAACAACAAAGAAATGCAGGGGGAAAGAAGGAAGGGTGGAAGGGAGGAGAAAGGAAGGGTAGAAAAGAGGCAAGAATGAAGAGAAGGAAAGGAAAGGAAAAAGGAAGGAAAAAAGTTCCGAAGGAAGGAAGGAAGGAGGGAACATTGACGGCTCAAAAGGAGTTTCTTAGCTGTCCTAGAACAGATTTTACAGGAATGGATAGTGCTCTCTCTCACAGGTATATGGAGAATATGAGAATAAATGTGCTAATAACACTAGGCAATTATAAGAATAGTAGGTTTTCTCTTTTGATTTCAATGAACTGTTCATTCAGTGTTTTGTAAACTGACAAAATTTGGTGATATCTACCAGTTTTGTAAAGCTAATCACATACCTTACAGAATCTGAAGACAAAACTGAAGCCATTTGTATGGATAGAGGAATACATTCCTGAAAATACGCAAAACTTTTTATATAATGGGTCTCTTTGAGAATTAGATGAAAACTCTGGACACCTGATCATTTATACACATTTACAGTTTTTACACACACACTCTCTCTCTCTCTCTCTCTCTCTCTCTCTCTCTCTCTCTCTCCATGCAATTCCAGAGGCTTCACCTATCCCTGACACCCATCCAAAGAAGTTAAGGCCACTGGACTAACAGAAAAGAAGTAAGTTAACTTGTCAGCACAGGAAAGGTGACCAGGCTTTCCACACAGTATGGATCTCCTTAATGCATTTGTCTTTGTGAACTACATTTCCTGTTCCTTTCTTTTTGGTATTCCTTTTCTCATACCATAAAATCTTTTAAGTTCGTTTTAAACATTTTGATATAACAAATCACTGTTCTGCAAAGGCAACCTCCCTAGATGGAAACTAGTTCTTGTTACTTCAAAATTACACAGGATTGACCTCTGTTTCACAGATGTTGTAACCTGAAGTCCCTTACTTGGCAGAGTCCTAACATCTGTCCCAGGCATCCTTCCTGTGTGTCTGAGCCTACAGCCATGTTCTATAGCTGGATTTAGTGACCACATATTTGTGAAAGTTCTTATCAAAGTAGGATTCTTGTCAACTGCATAACAATTTGCTCTCATAATATTCTCTTATGTGACTGTTTTTCTTTCTTAACATTCAGTATTCTTTTACTAGTTCCATACAGAAGTAAATTAATAGACTGCCTAGAAAGAATTTTGTCTGTATATGTGTGTTCCAATATGAAGTAAAATAATTACATCTTTAAATTAAAATCTGAAAAGAAAGGTATTATCATTGTTTTAATTTAGTATAGAATGGAATGTTCTTATTTATTATTATTTATTTATTTTGTCACCCAGGCTGGAGTGCAGTGGTGTGATCTTGGCTCACTGCAACCTCTGCCTCCTGGGTTCAAGTGATTCTCCTGCCTCAGCCTCCTGAGAAGATGGGATTACATGCACCTGCCATAACACCCAGCTTCTTCTTTTTCTTATTATTTTTTGTATTTTTAGTAGAGATGTGATTTTACCATTTTGGCTAGGCTGGTCTTGAACTCCTGGCCTTAAGTGATCCACCTACCTTGGTCTCCCAATGTGCTGGGATTATAGGCATGAACCCCTGCACCCAGCCTAGAATATTATTTTTTAAAGAGCTTCAGGTATTATTTAAGAATCCTATGCAATTTGTTGTCTTCTTTCAGTCTCCCGTAGCAAATTCTGCACATACCTTTTGTTCCGCTGTCATGGTTAGACTTTGCAATCGGCCAGTCATATTCCCTAAACTCTTTTCAAAAGCTGCTACAAGGTGAGCCTGTGAACAAAATGGAAGAAACATGGTTTAAATGTCAGAATCTTATGTGTATGATAAAAAGCCTTCATTTTACAAAATGCTTAATTTCATGTGTTCCGACTCTTTAAATACTATGACCATCACAGTTAGCTTTGACTGGTGACTTCTTTAACAAACGTTTTCATTTATCTTTTCTAAATTGTGTCTTCTTGAAATCAGTGTTTCAGTCTCTTGACATTTAATGTGAGTTTAACTTCTGAAAGAAGATGGTATTTTGCAAGTAATAACTCCTTCTGACTTGCACGTCATGTAGAGATTTGACTGACCCTCAAAATGCCAAATATAAAGTTCTGATCTGTCAAGTTTTTTAGACTTAAAGCCCAAAAAGAGGTCACTGAAATAGTCAATGGACAAATGTTCCTAATTTTTAGTGTTTCGTGATGAGCTTTGAATATATTGTTAGCTCATCTATTGTAATGATACGCTCCTTCAAGTGTCAGACATCCGCTGACAGCTATAACATTATCTTTCCTCTTTTTCTACTTACAAAGAATTGAATAGAAAACCAGTTGTCTTTACCTTCCAAACTCTTTTCAATAAGAAGCCTCTTTTTTTTTTTTTTTTACTTCGGATTCCCTTCAATGAAGGAAATACAGATAAGCCAGTTAGAAATAACATTCCATCATATTTTATTTTATGGTAAGCTTTTATGGCTTTTGGATTTTATTTTAAATTTCAGAGAATCATACATATTATAGTACATAATGATAACTCTTATGATTAAGAAGTATTTGACAATCTTATTAAAGCTCAAAAATAGGCCAACTTCCATTTGCACACCCTTATGCAACAGTCTGAACCCAAAACATTAAAGTGAAGAGGTACTTCAGTCTTTCACCATGTCTTGAGGTAGAACTAGAGGTACATTATCTCAAACTGATAAAATTGTATTGTGCCCCAAAAGGATATAAGGATTTAATATTTTACAACCGAAGTCTGTAATAAACTATAACTATATATAGGGCAAAATTTGGCAACCCCTGGCCAAAAATTTATTTCTTTTTGGAACATACGAATAAGATGACTTAAATAAAACATATCTCCATGTACATATAGCAGAGCTGAAATACTGAGGCACCTACTACCAAATGGATCACAACAATTCAAATAATTAAGGCTCATTACTTAATAATGGAAATATATTCCATTATTGGTAACAGTTAGAATGTACACCTTCCTTCCATTAGCATTATAATAGAAAGGTGCCTGTTTCTAGCTCTGAAATCATCCTGGGATGCCTTTATCTGACACCGCAAGATGGAGAAAAACAATTTGTAGAGAATACAGCTACTAAACTTCAATCTATCAGAACAACTCTTTACTCTTTTTCTACTCCTTCCCTTTTCCTTCATTGTCTCCTCCCCCTCCTCTCTCTCTTTCTCTCTCTTTCTCTCTCTCTCTCTCTCTCACACACACACACACACACACACACACACACACACACACTCCACACACTTTTACCCATGAGAATTACAAACCAAAGTTTGTTGGCAAATTTAATTGGATAAATACCATTAAAAACAGTATCTTATATTTTAAAAAATTTTCAATGACAAGCAAGAAATGTGATGCCATCAGACCTAGTAACTGAAAAATTAGCATACAGCTATGCTCATTTTTTCTTACGTTTTTACTTTTAATTATTTATTTTACTTTTTTAGCCAATGTCTTGCTGCCACCCAGGCTGAAGTGCAGTGCCACAATCCTAGCTCACTGTAGCCTCCAACTCCTGGGCTAAAGTGATCCTCCTGCCTCAGCCTCCCAAGTAGCAAGAACTACAGGCATGCACCAACATGCCCAGATCCTTTTTTTTTTTTTTTCGTTTTCTGTAGAGATAGTGCCTCACTCTGTTGCCTGGGCTGCTCTCTAACTCCTGATCTCAAGTGATTCTTCCCAACTTGGCACCCCAAAGTGCTGGCTGGGATTATAGGTGTGAGCCACAACACATGAACTTTGACTTTTCAACTGTACAAAAATCCACACATACGTAAAAGTGAACAAAATAAAAACCGCCCATTAACTTATCACATACTGAACATTCATGCATTCACCAGCAAAGTCCAGAAATAGGATATTTCAAGACCCAAGAAGCCCTTCTTTGCTCCTCTTTTATCATTATTCCCTCTTCCTTTCCCAAAGATAACCACTACATAATTTCTGCAGTAATTATTTTCTTGCTTTATAGTTTTTACTACCTAAGCTTGCATTTCTAAACACTATGTTTAGATTAGCCTATTTTGAAAACTACCCCAAAGTAATCAAACAGCATGATTCTTTTGTTGTTTTCTTTTGCTTATTGTGGGTTTTAAGATCCCTCCATGTGGCATGTAGCATAAGTTAGTCTTTAGTGTACAGCATTCATATATGTGAATTTATACTATATATGTCCATGATGGTCATTTCAGTTTAGCCTGTTAGAAATAACACCACTATGCTCATAACATTGGTTACTAAAACCTAAAACTGAAATTGTATGTTTTCTTTTAAAATAAGGAAAATTATAGCAGAAACTCTTTTCTAGTACTTACTAAATGAAATGTAACATTTTACTCACTATTTCAAGGTTTTAATTCTCCTAAAAGGGAGATATGTAAGGTTTAATCATTGTACTATGAATTCTTAAATGTGTAAACTTGAAGGGAATTATTCTCCTTTACACTTTATGCATACTTTTTCAGTTTAATATGAATTAAAATATGACAAAGAAACCGTGACTGTAAAACATATGGTTCCATTAGCAATCTAAAACAAAGGTGCCTGTTTCTATCTCTGAATTCATCTTGGGATGCCTTTCTTTACCTGGCACTGCAAGATGGAGAAAAACAATTTCTAGAGAATACATCTACTAAACTTCAATATATCAGAACAACTCTTTATATAAACTGTATTACTTACATTTTGTAGCTATAAGTAACCATAAAGTATTTATCATTAGAAAGGCAGTTTGTAATTATACACAAAAAACTTATAACTGGTTACTAAAGAATATTTTAACTTGAGTCGTGTTGTTTTCAATGAAAAGTATGTCACGATTATGTTAGTGAAAAACACCTACAACCATCTGATCTTCAGCAAACTTGACAAAAACAAGCAATGGGGAAAGGATTTCCTATTTAATAAAAGGTGCTAGGAGAACTGACTAGCCATATGCAGAAATTGAAACTGGACCACTTCCTTATGCCTTATACAAAAATTAACTCAAGATGGATTAAAGATTTACATGTAAAACCCAAAACTATAAAATTCCTAGAACAAAGTCTAGGCAATATCATTCAATACATAGATAAGGGAAAAGATTTTATGACAAAAAACTCCAAAAGCAATTGCAACAAAAGCAAAAGTTAACAAACAGGATCTAACTAAACTAACAACCTTCTGCACAGCAAAAGAAACTATCATCAGAGCAAACACACAATCTGCAGAATGGGAAGAAATTTTTGTAACCTAACCATTTGACAAAGGTCTAATATTCAGAGTTTACAAGGATCTTAAACAAATTCACAAGTAAAAAACAAAAACCCCATTAAAAAGTGGAAAAGACATTAATATACATTTCTTAAAAGACAGTCATGTAGCCAAGAAACATATGAAAAAAAAGCATAACATGAAAACCACAATGAGATACCATCTCACAGCTGTCAGAATGGTGATTATTACAAAGTCAAGAAATAATAGATGTTGGGGAGGTTGCAGAGAAAAAAGAATATTTTTACACACTGTTGGTGGGAGTGTAAGTTAGTTCAACCTTTGTGAAAGACACTGTAGTGATTCCTCAAAGATCTAGAAGCAGAAATACCATTTCACCCAGCAATTCCATTAATGGATGTATACCCAAAGGAATATAAATCATTCTATTATGAAGATAGTTCTGCATTATGTTCACTGCAGCATTATTCACAATAGCAAAGACATGAAATAACCCAAATGCCCAACAACAATAAACGATAAAGAAAATGTGGTACATATACCTCATGGAATACTATACAGTCATAAAAAGGAGTGAGGTCATATCCTTTGGAAGGACATGGATGGAGCTGGAAGGCATTATCCTCAGCAAACTAACACCAGAACAGAAAACCAACCACCACATGTTCTCACTTATAAGTAGGAGCTGAACAATGAGAACACATGGGCACATGGTAGGGAACAACACACACTAGGGCCTGTCAGTGGGAGTTAAGGGAGGGAGAGCATCAGGAAGAATAGCTAATGGATGTTGGACTTAATATCTAGGCAATGAGTTGATTTGTGTAGCAAATCACCATGGCATATGTTGACCCCTGTAACAAGCCTGTATATCCTGCTGATGTACCCCCAAACTTAAAATAAAAGTTGAAGAAAAAAAGTATTGCCTTAAACTTATGTCACCTTGGTTTAGTTTATCAGATTAACATTGTTATTTTAGAAGTTATAAAAGGCTAAATTTTTCACTAAATAAGGTAAACGGAAAAGGAGGCAAATGGGAACATTTTTCTACTGATGATCTTTATCACCTTAATGAAGAGAAAATGGAAAATAAAACTGATTAAACTTATAGAATAACATATCTTGTCTGAAAAATTTTATAAAATTACTTTTAAAAATATGGATTTTCAGGGGAGTTGATAGTCATAGTTTACTTGGTTCTGATTTTTCCTTTAGCAGTTTCATAACTTTAAGGTCAGAGTAAAATTGTATTAATATGATGATGAGTATCTCCTGATTCGTGTTAGATGAAGTTTGTCAAGGTAATAAAACAGACAAGACTGAGTATTAGTAAAGGGAAGATCATTTCAATTCATACTGTCTTCGGTTTTGGAATCATACAATGTATTAGGTTGGTGCAAATGTAATCTGAATAGACATGTAAAGAGAATTACTATGATGCTAAACGATAAGATGAACTATCTTATACATAATGTTTACTTTGTATCTCTTCATACAGAATGCAGAGACAGACCACTGACAAATTAAAAACACTC